GAACCTATAAATAAGAACATTAAAATCTATTAATTATAAAAATCATTGGACAATAATGTTGCAAGATCAATCAGAGAATATAAATATACATATTTTCTCAAATTAAAATACATAAACAAATCTAAATAAAAGGATATTTAAAATGATAAATGAAATTTATTTTCTCAAATTAAAAGACATAAAAAATATAACTGAAAAAAGATCTTCAAAAGGATAAATAGACTTATGTTCTTCAATTAGAATGCATACAAATTTTAACTAAAATGATATATTAGAAATTCCAAATTAAAATAAGACTATTACCGAAAATTTCATTATTCCCCCAATTCCCAAATGTATATGTAGCATAGATTATCGAAAAGATATAAGTTTTCACATTTCTAGCCCTTCATAATCTCAATTATTTTTGAAATTAGTCTATTCCTATTACACCGATTATATTATAAATTTTTTATTCAAATAGTAAACATTTTACATATTAATTACAAATATAAAGTTTAATTTTTAAGAATTTTAGAAAATATATTTTCTTCGACATCAATAATTTGATTATGAATTGAAAATACAATATATATTTATATTTATTGTAAAGTAAATTTTAGTGTTGATGATTTAACAGATTAAATTTGCTAGTTTATTAATATCTATACAATAATTAAATATTTTATAAGAATATATTCAAACCTTATAAATTAAAGTGTGAATAGATAAAATTTAATTTTCTCAATATATATATATATATATAATTTTAATTATTATATATAATTTTAATGATCAATTTAATGTATAAATTTGTTCCTATTATATAATTTTAATGATCAATTTAATGTATAAATTTGTTCCTATTGACACGCTTGTCTTGTGGCTACCTAAATTTTACGAGGACCTTTATGTCATTGTACTTCTCTTTTCTTTAATAATTATACACCTTGCTAGATTAGAAAAAACGCGTATAATAAATACGTAAATCATAATGACTCGAAGAAAAAGAGAATAGAATGAGTTCATCTTTAGATTTTCTTATTCTTCTCTTCAGTTTCCATTTCGTCTTCTCTTAAGATAGTCTTAAAAATATCACTTATTCAGAGAAAAAGAGAATAAAATGAGTTCATCTTTAGATTATATTATTTTTTTCTCCGACTTCCGATTCGTCTTCTCTTAAGGTTGTCTTAGAAATATCACTATTCAAAATAAATATCACCATTATCACCGCTATCTCTCCTCCTTAACCACACTCTATTCTTCTCTTCGAGTGATTGACCATTCGTATATGTAACTTAAACTTATTATGTAGCCTTCAACCTATGTGACTCTGTCGGTGGTGCATGCGGTTACGGAGATTTCGGGAAAGTAGATTATGGATTAGCGACGGTAGTACTGAGTGAGACTGTTAAAAATTTATGCCAAAATTTTATTCTTTTCTTAGATTTATCAAAAAATTTGACTACTTGTATATTATATATATATAAAAAAAATACCATATCACCCAATATAGTTGTTACCTAGCCCGAAATGAATTAGTCTCTCGTCTAATTCTTAACCATAGATGGGAGGCACTCTTAGTATTACTTGTCGTCTCTATCTCCTAGGATTTTTGGGCTAACAAAGATGCGGCTATGGAGTAAATTGCTCCCTTTTTTTATTTTCTATTATACATCTATATTTGTCTAAATTAATTCATAAGGCTCAATTTATTCATATCTTCCACCCTTCTTATTTCAAAAAATTATATATTGACTCCGAAAAAAAAAAAATTTCTACATCCGTCACTTATATTAGTAATATAAATGTATTTTTTTTATTATCATGTTTCATGTTTCGAAATTTTCAGAAATGAAAACGTGACCGAGATAGTTTTGAAGGTAGTATTAAATCAAATCAATTTAGGTTTCATATTCACATATATTTTAGATCTTTTGTGTCTTCAATTTTCGTTTTTTCCCTTTTTTTAAGGATTAGTTTCCTTATTAAGCTTTGTAAATTTAAATTATCTATTTATTATAATTACCGGAACTAAATTAATAATTTATTTTCCTTCTTCCTTTGTCTGCAAATTTTGATTTTTTTGAAATAATTTATTGTATTGAATATGAAACCTATAAACGTGAGTTGATTTGATACTGCCTTCGAAACTATCTGAATCACGTTTTGATTTCTAGAAATTTCAAAACATGAAATATAATAATTAAAAAGAATAAATTTATATTGCTAATATCATTGGTGGATGTAGAAATATTTTTCTTCGGAGTTAATATATAATTTTTTTGAAAAAAGAAAGGTGAAAGATATAAATAAATTGAACTTCAATTAATTTAGACAAATATACATATATATTAGAAAATTAAAAAAAAGGGTCAATTGACTCCTTTTTTATATATAAAGGCATTTGGTTCAATTTTTTCATATAGCTAATCGTTGATTGAGGCCAAACAATTGGATTACAAGTGTCCGGTAATGATTCGAATCAACAGCTGATAGCTAATAATTTTCTCAATGCTCGACTGATTCCATCGGTTGGATGTAAGAGCTTTTTGCAAACTGCTATCAGTATTTTAATACATTTTCTTTGCCTATCAAGAATAAAAGAAGATCAAAGACATCAGGTAATTTTTTTTTTTCTACTTTTTATTATTTTATTGATTGAGATATATTAAGTGTCTTCTTTTTTTTTTTTTTTTTTTTAAATTCATGATAAGTAAATTAGATAAAACACAATTTGAAATTTAAACAATCGAACCAATTCCACTATATATTTTCCACAAATAGTAAATAATTTGTGGTTGAAAACCAAAAGTCAATTAAAATTATAAAGACAACAGTGCATTCTCAAACCGACCTTTTATATAATTATTTAATTTTTAAATTAATCTAATTTAACAAGTGTCGTGACAAAAACGAGTCTATCCAAGCAGCCGAAGTTTGGCTGTGTGTATTTTTCTTGTAAAAAGGAGTTGTTTGTCTTCTCACACAAGATGCATGTCTTAAGATAACCACACATAAACTTGCATTTGGAAGTAACCTAAATACCCAACACAAAATTTATACGTTCTCATGACTCATTCTTCGACCAATCAACTTTAATCTAATTTAGTTACTAATTAGAGATAATAATTTTATCCGATTTGCTGTGCAATTTCATAATTGCATGAAATCGTAATAAGTAATAGAGCACTGAATATATTATCATTCATATGAGAATTTTTACTAAGTTAACAAAATTATTTTAACCTACTATTATTTAAATGACAATAAAGAAAATTTATTTAAAAAATTAAAATACAGAAAATAAAGTAAAAGATTAAACAAGTAGTTGTAGAGAAAAATAGAGATAAAATTTACTGAAAATTTTGACTTCACTCAATTTTATGCAACTTATTTTATTAGTTCGATAATCAATTTTAATTATTTTTTATAAAAGAAATAATTCCAAAATCAATAATAATCCTAAAATCATTTATATTCTCTTCAACATGCTAGTTGCTTTTATTGTTTGTTTAGTACCACATTAATTTATAAAAATCATCATATAACTTTTATTTTACGTTTTATAATTAATTTAACAGTTTGCTAGTAACTTTCACTATAATCTCTTTTAGTAAATGCTAGTAACTTTCACTATAAATCTCTTTTAAGTAATACAATATACTTTAACAATAAAATAAGAAAGCTAACCTAATAAATTAAAAATTAAATATTTGTAAAATAGTAATATTTATTTTATTTTTTAGTCATCAAAATCATGAAATCTTTTAAAAATTTTATTAATAAAAAAAATTATATTCCTTAATAGAAAGAATATGATTTGAATTAAATAAGATATCAATATAATTAATCAAATTCAAGATATTTAAAAATAATACTTTTTATCTTATTTTTGGCCAATCAAATTAGAGTGTAATTTGTAAGTAAGAAATTTAACCATATCCTTTTTAAATCAAAATCTTAATTATCTAGATATATTTATTTAAAATGAACTTGAAAAAAATAAAAATTTTAAATGCCTCATATTTACATATATTTATTTAAAATAATAATGTTGATGATAAATTAAAATAATAGTAAATAATAAATAATAATAATAATAATAAATTATTAAAATATATATTATTAATAATTCATATAATAATATACAATGAATAAACATAATAAGATAAATAATGGTAAAAATTTTTAAATTTTCAACCTGCTTAGTTATAATCCGTATATATTTATCTATTAAAAAGTTAAAAAATATACAACCAAAATTATATATATATATATATTATATATATATATATATATTAAAATTTTCCAATTGACTTTTAGTGTATTTTAAATTTTACAAGAATAATATAAAAAATCTTATTATTCTTCTTCATTTCTACTTTTATATATAATATAGATAGAAATATAAATTTATGCTCTCTAGCTAAAATAAAATAATTTTACAGAAATTATTTATGATCTGTATTTTTTTTATTTTTTTTTTTTTGGTGATGGATATAGTTACTGCTGAGAGATAAGACAGCAACGAGAATTGCCAAAATTGAGCTTCAAATTCATCTACTGGGAGATTCTGTAATAGTTTTCTTAACCGTGTATCATTTTGACTTTTTGTTCAAGATTCCGTTACTTTTTGGACAAACATTTTAGGGTATTTTTGTACTTTCCAGAGGCTTCTTGAACAAACCCAAATTCAACAAGGACAAGAAAGGAATTAGACCCGCCTCCTTCAAATCCAACTCCGACTTGGATTAGATCTAGAAACCGCAACACGAAAATGTTACCGCCAAAAGAACCGAAGTTTCTGTGTATAAATAACTAGAAACGGGCTGCTCCATGCTTACAGTTACATATCTCTGTAGATACCCATCTCTTTCTCTGTGTGTACAGACTATACAAGGATTGGATAACCGCTCCTTTTAGCTTTTTTTTTTTTTTTTTTTTTTGTATATATTTCTTTTCTTCTTCTTTAGAATTAATTCATGTTAACCAATCGAATACTTGGAAAAAATTCCTGCATCAGTTTTTTTTTTTTTTTTTTTTTCAAATTCTGTATATATTTTTTCTTCTTCTTTAGGAATTAATCATGTTAACCAATCAATACTTGGAAAAAACTCCTCATCAGATCCCAATCTTCCAGGTAATTTCTTTTCTTTTCTTGATTATTATGTTCTTTTTCTTTTTCTCTTTAGTTTAATTTGCTGTTATTGGGTGTTCTTGATGAGAAAAGCACTGTTTCTGTTAATTTGCATTGGTTTTTATCTGAATTTGGTTGATGGGTTTATTTTTATCTTAATCTTTGGTTTCAGATTTAACTCTGTTTTCTGTGATTGGTGTTAACAGGGAGAACAAGTTGACATTGAAGACAAAGGGTCTGTGGTAATTGATAATAATAATGATGACAAAATCTTGGATTCTGATGCTGATAACAGCGTGGCTAATTCAGGTTACAGTGATAGTAGTTTCGGTGATTTCACCCGGAATGGAATGCTCAAGGTTGGGGAAGGAAGTCTTGAACATAACACAATTACTAGGAGCTTCCTAGAAGGAATGAGAAATCGTGGAAAGGACACCAAGATTGTGGCCATACATAAGAACTCTGCTTCTGGTTCTGCAGGAAGAGCTAGATGGCTTACTTTTCGTATTTTTACGGAGGCAGTGAGTCAAAAGTCCGGAGGCGATGCTAATTTGCGGTTTGGTTGGTTTGGTGGTTCAAGAGAGAAGATTTGTCAAGTTATATCTCATGGATTTAGTCTCTGCAGTGAAACTGCTAATGGTGAATCTCATGGGTTTGGTATTTCTCTTTCTCCTCCAAAATTTTGCATTGATAGGTAAGTTTGATATGCTCATTATGATATTGTGTAGTAATATTATCAAGAAAGAGTAGGAAAGAGAATTAGAAACTCAAACTTCATAAGTTGATGTTGAAATTTTGTTTTTCCCGGCAACCAAACAGAAATAGAGAATTGACTCAAGAAAAAGATTGGTACTAACGAGTTTGCTTCTTTACTTTCTATGTTTTACAGCGCGGCATCAGCCACTGTGGATGAGAATGGTCTTAGGCATATGTTGCTATGCCGTGTGGTAATGGGGAAGATGGAAGTGATTCCTGCTGGTTCAAAGCAATTTCAACCAAGTTCAACAGAATTTGACTCTGGTGTTGATAATCTTGAAGAGCCTAGAAAATTCATTGTATGGAGTGCTTTTATGAATTCTCATATCTTCCCTGCTTACATAATAAGCTTTCAGGCGCCTTGCTTTAATGGTAAGCAAAGTTGGTTTTTTATATTTGCTTTTCTCTTGCATATATATGTTTTCAACTGTACTATAGTTTCACAGATCTCTGATTCCACTTTTTGTGCTTGTTTAGGTTTGAATACAAATTTGGGGAGATCAGTCAGACCCTCTTCACCATGGATGAGCTTTCCTGCTTTATTGTCTATATTGTCAAGGTTTTTGGAGCCTTCTAAGATGGCTTTGATCTTCAAATTCTATGATGATTTTAGGGTAGGCCATAAAATACTGAATATTTCTTTCCTTGACATACATTGGTTGTCTTAGTGTACTAGATGTGCTGATTATTTCCAGTATTTTCAATCTTGCAGAAAAATAAGATCAGCAGACTGACACTAATCCGAAAAGTGAGGCAGATATCTGGTGACAGGCTGTTGGCTGCGATCATTAGAAATTGCACAAATAAGGTCTGACTTTCTTTAATCATTTCTCAAACTTCGAGCCTTATAAAGTTGTTTCTGTTTCTGTTTCTGTTATTTTATTTTTTGATAGATTAGGATGAATTGAACCAAGCTGTTGGAATTACACTAGTACTTGCTAACTAATTATCAAGTCTGGTAGCCATTAATATGGTTTTTATCCGAGTTAGATTTTGTATAAGAAGTAAAATAGCAACAACCAAGCATTAATAGCAAATTAGTTGGGGTAGATGGAGAAGGACGGATAGGAAAATATTTGAAAAGTTCCCTATCAATTCAAATCTTTATGTTTTGACAAAGTTTGTTACTTTGGCATTAAGTAAAGCTAATTAGTATGGAAGTCAAGAATCAGGAATCAGCAGCTTTTTGCTTTTTATTTCTAACAAATATATTGGTTGGAAGACTCTTTTAGGGTGTTCTTATTTTATTCATTTTCCTGAATATGTTTTTATCATGTAGAACCATGAAATATAGGGAATCTGGAAAACCCCTTTCAGATTTATAGCTTGAAGTGCCATCCGTCATCTAAAAAACACAATTTGTTAAATAAAAAAATAAAGATCACTTTCACTTCTGCCCTATGGACCAGGGAATCCAATTTGTGTTGAAATAAATCACCATAGAAATACTAAATAGGAAAAAGCAAAAGCAGAGGTATAGAAGTAGAAAGAGGATGAAAAAAATATTCAATTCTGATTGCTCCCAAAATATATAATTTGAAACTTTGGATTTGCTGATTTGAGAAACCTTTGACAATCAGAAAATGCAATGCACAAATATCTTATTATATTATGGTTCACTTCCTTATGTACTCCAACTAATATTGAAACTCTTATTCTAACGCAGCAGCTTGTGATCGGAAGATCCAACCGTGGCAGAAAATATTGACTTTCTTATTCATCAGTTTCTGTGTGAAAACACCTAGAAGCTGCGGCAGCAGTCGCAAGAGCAGCTAAATATAGTTTCAAACCTTAAATGGAGAGAAAGAAAGAAGTTGTATATCTCTTCTACAGCTGTAATGTCAAAAATTTGTCTCTTCTACAGCTGTAATGTCAAACATTTGTTTACTTAGATTTTGTTTTCAGTGAAATGCAACCATCTCTGGAACATTTAAAACATCTACCCCTTATAAAGTTTTCATTTTTCTGCTCCAAGTCGTTCAAAAGAACCAATTACAATCAATGTTTTAGTTCAAATAAAAATATTTCTAACTATGCATTTGGGGGGAAAAAAAAAGGCAGTGAGTTTCTTAGAAATTTTTTTTTTTTTTTTTTTAAATTGATTTGATTTATGAAACTACCATAAGAGTTCTCAGAAAAGGCAAATTAAGCAAGAAGACAAAGGAAGGAACTTTCTTTAATGGGAAGAGAACAAGGGTAACGTAATGTATAACTTTGATGAATGCATATTAAGAATAAGCGTTAAGATAATAACTTGCCATATTAAGTAATTAGCGAATGAAGTTCTCAATAACCCATCAAATATTAATGTGAATGGGATTATCTTAACATACCCTATTAATGCATCCTTCTGCGTTAAGATAATAACAGGGCAGTTATAAGTGGTTTCGATTAATTGAAAATAACTCCGATATATGCAAATATATTGAAAAGTCAGCTTCAGATACGTGTAAATGTATTTCGATGAAAAGGTAGAACAGACTATGCACTTCCTTCTAAAATTATGATTTCATTTCGTATTTTGATGTCCCTCCTGATTAGGTTGCTGCTATTTTGCGAGATGATACACAAGGTGTAACCTTGCCTCGTCCGGTTGGAACCGGTTAGTATTGTTTTCTCGGTGTGAGGCCTCCTTCGAGTTTATTTTACAAAATTAATTGTTTTAGTGGCATTTAACTGTTAAATGTTTGGATAACTTTTCATAAAAGGTGATACAGAACCTCCAAGAATAAGTCTGAGAACCCCTTTAATTATTATGGACCCCGTGATATTAATTTGAAAACCCCTTTAACAATTCAGTCTCAATCCCTAAGACATGCTAAAATTTGGATTGCTTAGAAGGATGATCAAAGATCTAGAATAAAGAAAACTTGTTTCTAAATTCCAGATTCGAAACACTTCACAAGAAGATGATCAGTAAACTTGAATGTTCCTTAAGCATATATTCTACTCAAGAACACAAAGATAAAAGCAAACAGCCTTTTGATTATCATTCAATTATCCATCCCTAGAAATTCGTTTTAGACCTTTATATAGTCTTTACAAGACCTAAAAATTCATAATCTAAAATAAACAAACTCAATTTATGGGTTTAACATAAACAAGTTTGGACAACCAATTATCAAAGCAATAAAATTAAATGGCTTTTAAATTGACATGTTTTAAAAACCCATTACGACAAAAATACAAACATAATTAATTTCATTCAATTAACAAAGCTAAGATCTAAAAACAAAATTAAATAAGCCCATTTTGAAGTTGGACTTGAATTAAGTTGTAATTAATTTTATTTGATCTTGTTTTCAAGCCTTAGATCTACTGCAGCCTTTTACAAGCCAAATTCACCAAACCTTGTAAATGACAAATTAAGCTTGTTGAATTTTCTTGGCTCGTGATCTAATTATAGGCCCTTTGATGTGAAATAATTGGATTGAAAATCTCATTAATTTTATCATTGTTTCTTTGGTCATGCTCATCCTTTTAGTTCGTAGGTTGCTCCATAACAAAAGGCTAAAAATTAAATATTACATGAGTTAACTTTTTAGAAAATGAAATTAGTTCAAACTCTATGTTATCGAATACTGTAAAAATTACCATTTAGTGTTTTGACTAAAATCTATTTAAAAAGTTATTCCTGAACACAACTTTTTTTTTGACTAAAATCTATTTAAAAAGTTATTCCTGAACACAACTTTTTTTTATAAAAAAAAATAAAAAATCGAAGGGTGTTTAAGAATATTTAATGTTTTGACTAAAATCTATTTAAAAAGTTATTCCTGAACACAACTTTTTTTTATAAAAAAAAATAAAAAATCGAAGGGTGTTTAAGAATATTTAATGTTTTGACTAAAATCTATTTAAAAAGTTATTCCTGAACACAACTTTTAAAAAAAAAAAAAAAAAAAAAATCGAAGGGTGTTTAAGAATATTTAGGCCTTATTGAGAACAAACAAAATACTTGTGTTACGCCTTATTAATGTAGATTAACAGTTGGGTTATTAATGTAGTTTGGGCTTTGTCGTCGAAATGGTGTTGAGTACTCCTCCTTTAAATTTTGGGCTTTCAAATTGAATAGTGGGCTTGACACATTAGACTACTTGAAAAAACCCACTTGACTTCTTTTCCCATGTTAGCCATCCCATTATTAGTTGTAATAATTCAGTTCAATTGAATTAACTATGGGACTCGAAATTCAATTTTGTGTTTTATCAAATTTAATTTTTATATTCAAATTCAAATATTTTTTAAAACCAACCTCAAATGCACTTAGATTTCAACTTACTTTGGCTTAATTGATGTCAAAAATTTCAATAAATTTATTTACTATGCCCTAATTAATACTCTTATAAAATTAATAATGTTTGTAATTGATTTGGTGTATAAATGAGCTCATACATCGGGTGTAAATAAGAATTTTTTAATTTTTGTGAGTCATTCAATCTTAGTCATACTCGAATTATTTAAATTTAAAATGAAAATCAAATTTGAATATATATGAGATATTTAGTTGGAGGTAAGTAAATTAGGCAATTGCAACTTCTCCGAAAGTGTATAAAGTATTTGTTTAGTTTACATTATCAATTTTATTTACAAAAAATAGATTATTCAACTTTCTTTATATAGCGAAAATAAGTTACTTATAGATACGTAGATGTTACATTTTCTAATCAAAAGCAATGAATTTATCAGTTTATTCTATTATATAAATATATTTAAATTTACATTAATTGTTATATTTTGTAACTTGAGAATAATTTATTTAACAGGAAAATGATTTACATAGCAAATGCATTTAAATTATATTACGTAGAAAATAATTTTATTAACTGCATATTTTTAAAAAATATATTTTTCGAAAAATACACCAATTTCAAGCAAACAAGCCTCGGTAACTTAACTCATAAGCTACTAACTTCCCATAACCTTTCATGTTATAAAATATTTACGTCATGCGACCAACTTATGAAGTTTTCTCAAAAAATTAATTATTTATGTCATTCCGCTAATCCTTCTATGCAAACTATGCCAAATCTTATCCTAATTCTATATTTCCAATTGCTTAAAAATCGACTAATTAATGACTAATTAGTCATTAATACATGGATTAATTAATGATTAATCGACTAGTCATACAAATTTTATTTATTAACAATTAGTCAACTATTTGAAAATGATCTTTCCCCTTCTAATTTAGAGAAAAAAATTTAAAATTTTAATTTTATTTTCGTCCTATTTGTCTGAACTTTTTAATACTAATATTTATTTTGAAAACTAAATTTTATTTTTAAGGTTATATTAAGAATGTATTATTCCACATCATCTAGATGGAACTAATTAAAATTTATTCTAGATGAGATTATTATTTTATTTTAATTTATTGATTTTTTTTTTTCACTTTGTTGGTCAACAATGCGAATGAATAAATGATGATGATCAGCCAAAAAACAAAACCTTATATTCCTTTTCAACATTGCTGTCATGTAGGTTTTTGAGTTATCAATTTGCCACGTCAGACAATTTGATCTGTACCATTTAACTAAATCCTAATCCAATCTTAATCGAGTGATTTGTAAATATTTATCTGGTTAATAGTGAGTTTAACAAAAGGATTAACTAGTTAACGTAGATAAAAACAAGGAACTATTAAATTTCAAATATTAGATACTCCGATTGCTATAATTGATTTTATAATAATGGGTATATATATTTTTTTTTTCTAGAAGAAAAATAAAAGATTTATTAAATAGATAGTCAAAGTATAATAAATAAATTGTGGATAACAAATAAGATATATATATATATATATATATACATGTCTTTTGGTGGTAGCTGGAAATTTAATTCAGAATAAGTCAAAAGTTGAGAAGCTTCTTTCTTGACGTCCAAATTTTGAAAGTCTTCTCTTAATTTGTAGCTTAGGCCAAAAACACAAGAAGGATTGGTGCATTTGCTTCTATAAAACAAAATTGTCGGATTTGTCAACGCTTTGCCGTTTGAAACATCCACTGCTTAACTAAACTATGTAATCAAGAATTGACCTGGTCAAGTCACCAAGTACTGCTATTTTTATTTTTTTTCTTTTTTCTTTAATCTCTTTTCCATTTTTTATTATATCAAGAAATTAACCTGCTCGCAATCCTCATCCATGGTTTTTGCTTCTTTCTTAGTATTTTCTCCTCTTTAAGGTTTCTTCTTGCCAAAGGAGACTTATTGAACATGTACAATTTTACTGCACATTAATTGATATATATGAATTACTTTAAATGTTAAAATTAATTATTATTCAATTAATATATAAGTAGTCTCATACATTAGATATAAACACGTATTTATGGATCCATATTTACTTATCAAGTGTGAAATTCAAAATTGTTTTTTTAAAAAAAGAATGACAGCTAAAATTTAATGTTGCGCACCTACTACAATTGCCACCAAATGAATGAAAATGTAACTAAAAAATTTTAAAATTATCTGAAAGTGACAAACGGGTTGTGTACCAGAAAAGGCAAAGAAAAACTGGTTGGCCATCAACTACCAGCTCTACATCTCTACATCAAATGAATTGAGGTGACTTCTCATAATAAATGTCACATGTTACATGTATACAGTGTTTTTAACGGTAGGCATAAGGCATTTCGAGGTTGACCGTTTAGTTAATCAAATCGAATTAATTTAATTTCGATTCATTTGAATATAATTTTATAGTATTTAAATTTAAAATCAAATAATATAATAGATAATTCAAATCGTATTAAATCGATTTGATTTGGTATGAGTTATTCTCCAAATAAGTTATTTAGACTTAAAAATAAATTCAATTAGTTATATACAATAATTAAATCAAAAAATAAAAAAATCAAATGGTTTTCTATGTCCAAACTGATTAATAATTAAAATTATAAAATAATTATATAAATTCGATCCAAATGAGTCGGTTTAGTTTAATTTTTGACGAGAAATTGAGAATTGTTGATATATATATATATATATATATATTTTCCCGAATTCCGAAATGGTCGTTTGTCTTAATTTTTGACGAGAAATTGAGATTTGCCTTGTATTAGTTTATCTATCTAATATATATTGAAAAGATAATTTTAAGTTTTTGTACATATGATAAAAGAATAATTTTAATTTTTGTAGTAGCAGGAAGCTTCTACTAATAATGCCATCACATCACCTGTGTCTTTCTAATGTAAAATTGTCTCTGTCAATGACCACCATAAATTTTAGGCTAAACACATCCCATAGTCGTTGAACTAGATATGAGTTTTTCCATTTAGAGATTAATTGAGTTAATATTAATATTGATATCATCAATAATATTATATGTTTTTCAATTTTTTTTAAATTAACTATATAATTAATAATATAATTATTATTTCAAATAATAAAACTTTTTAATTTTTTCTAATAACTCGTGAAATTATTTATATACTTTAATAATTTATGAATAAAATTTCAAGATAGTTTTTCTTATACTATTACATCTTGTAAAGTAAATATAAAAAACACTGAAAGATTTAAATTTATAATTTATGAAAAACTGATATTAATGCAATAAATTGAAATGACATCTGATATTTTTTAGAAAATTGATTTTTTAAAATTTTCGTAATATGTATGAAAATAGAATTATTTTTGCGAAACAGCGGAGTAAGTATAGTATTATATTTTGATATGGTTGGGTTAACCGAAGAACAATGCATTGTCCAGGCCGGTAACAGAGTAACAGCTGTAACAATGTTTTACTATGTGGTTAAAATTACCGAGTAAAACTCAAATTACAGAAACACGTGGGCAGCTAACAGGTTTACTTGTCAATTACTTAAGTAAGACTATTCTCCGATTTCTAACTTTCCCCTTTCCATCCTAAAAATACCGCCGATATTTCGGAACTCCACCCAAAGATTACGCGCCTTTCCTTTTTCTTTCCTTCGTCCTTTCCTTCCTTTATATAAACCTGTAATAAACACTTTTCTCTCACAAATTAAAAGAAAATAAATTGAAACGCTAAACACCAAAATCAGCCGCGTTTTAGCCCAGCTTCCTACTTCTCTCTATCCAGCAACCACCACAGCTCTTTCTCACCATTAATTCTCTTTAACTCTCTTCGTAAGACCAAAGCAAATATCCTTTTTTTCAAGTAATTTGTGTTCTTGAAGAAGAAATGCAGGTGAGTTCCGCTGTCTCCGTTCATCAAGTTTTCAGTCCTTGCTCCGGTAGCGACTTTACGGGGATCGCCGGTAAATTTGAGGAGGAATTTACCTTGAAATTAAGACTAAATGATGAAGCCACGGCAAGCTTAAAGGACGAGAAACTGCCTCAAGAGGAGGAGGACGAGGAGGAAGAGCAAGAGGAAGAGTTTAGTTTTGCTTGCGCAAATCCCAATGGATCGCCTATTTCCGCTGATGATGCATTTCAAAACGGACAGATCCGGCCGCTTTTTCCTTTGTTCGATAGAGATCTCTTGTTTGACGTGGATGGCATTTCCCAAGCTAAAAATTCGAAAGAACCATCTCTCCGGCCGCCGTTGAGAAAGTTGTTTGTGGAGCGTGACCATGCCTCGTCAGTTTCGTCTTCGGAAGCGGATGAACCGGAGGGACCGTACTGTTCTTGGAAAGGGAAAGCTGTGGAAGCGTCGCCAGAGGTGTGCAAAAAAAGTAACTCCACGGGGTTCTCGAAGCTAAGGAGGTTTCGAGAATTGGTCCTCCGAAGCAATAGCGACGGCAAGGACGCCTTTGTCTTTTTGAATAATCAAAACCATAACAGCAACCCTTCAACAATAACAACAGCAGTGACAGGAAGTGCGAGTACAAAAACGAGTCAGGCAGAGAAAAACAAGAAGGTCGGAAAGGAGGAGAAGCAGCAACAAGTGACAAAGAAAGGGAAGAACACTAAAACGGCATCGTCCGCGCACGAGAAGCTCTACATAAGGAATAGAGTGATCAAAGAGGAACATAAGCGTAAATCGTATTTGCCGTACCGGGTCGGGTTTTTCACTAATGTGAACGGGTTGAGCCGGAATATCCATCCTTATTAACTTAATAAGCTCGGTTTATAATTAATTAATCTTTGTTTTTTTAAGAGAGTTAATTTATTTATTGATTTGTTCTTCTAATATAAAGAGGATTTGAATGGGATTTGTATACGTTAGTGACAGATTGATAGTTTGGGAGTTAGATGTATATCAATAATTATTTTATCCTAGTGTTATGTTAATCAAAATTTACAAAACTGTATGCTGAACTCAAAGCTTATTTTATCGGAAATAATTATTAAATATTATGTATTGAGTCAGGGTCCGCCCTTTTCATCCGAAAAGAAATTTCAAATTTGAAAATTAGATTAGAATTTCTAATTTGAGATTTATAATTTATATATAAAATTTGATTTTGGAACGTCTAATACGTAATTCTTGGAGTTTCGTATCATCAATTAAATTATATTTCATTGGTTGTCATCTGAAAGTAACATCAATTAATTTTTCATTATTTTATTGGATTAAATCTTACTATGGATTAACACAAATTTTAAAAATGTTGGTCTTATTATTTCCAGCACTTTCATGGAAAAAAGCCTCCTCGCTTGGAGCATAAGTTTCCATAGTTGATTTGATTAGGTGAAGCAGGAACCAGGAAAGAACCCAGCTTTCAATTGATAGGAAAGATTCTTCAGTTTTACAGATAAAGAGAATACAGATGCTAAATTTCTAAAGCAAATGACAAATTGTCAAGAAAATGGAGCTTGAAAAATCACTCCTTGGATTTGACATGACATTCTTCAGTTTTCATGGAAAGAGAGGCATAAGCCATAGTGGGCGGTTCACAAAGGCAAAAGAATACAGCACTAGATGCAAAATATCTCTCTAGAAGTGTACAGTTTGCGCAGTTCAATGCGCATCTTCTACCCATCCATGGAGGACCATCTCTATCTTTAACTTTTCCTGCTAAAGGAACAAACTACTTTCACTTCCTGGAAGCTCACAGGAACTTTTTATGTATTGAAATTTGTAAATAATGACCCAGGTAATCTAGTCTCTAAAACACTAATTAGAAACAGTTGGCAGAAACTTTCCATTGTTGTGATCATTAAACATTTACATTAACATAAGCATTTACTTACAAATTTCTAAATGACTCCACTAAATTTGTCTGTGCATGGGCATTATTTATGCCGATGCCTCGACCGAATTTTGCTACAGGTAGCAACAATGATCATCTTTTTATTTGCTTATTCCCCAGAAATGTTCTGCCATGCAAACGAGCAGCTGAAGATGTATACGATAATCAGCGCAAATCAAAGATTTCAAACCTCAGATTCGAATTTGTATACACATTGGAACAGTGCTCGTAAATGAGGCTTCCATTTTCTGGTTCTCCGTGTGGATGAAATCCTGTCTCCTGACACTCCTTTAGAACATTCATCCCACCTGGGTCAGTGAGCCGGAATATTCCATAGTTCCTGTAAGCCATAAATAATAAAAGCAACTAAATATTACACAAATATCAACATTCATTGAAAAGAGATTTGTATTTTTTGCCATTTAAGAAGTATCCTTCATATTGTTCTGCATAAAAGGAATATAGCACACAACCCGGAATTCATGTTTTCTGCAAAAGATACAATTGAATTTGTGTTATTGGATTTGCTTTAAATGCTATACGAGCGTTGCAAACCTGGAGGAATCAGTTGGAGCCATGACAATTGCAAAAGCCTCTGGTACCATTACCTTAAAGGCAGAAAAAGAAAGAAATGCAAATAGTTAAATTTTAATAGTAAAATCATTGGAATAAAAGAAGAAAGAACAAGTGATATGGGAAGAATCAGGTGAGTTGATTACCTGATATGAGTATTGAGTGTGCAGATCTATTGAAGACATGAAACAACCTTGAGAAGGATGCGTCTGAATATACAAATAATTGAAGAAAGCATTAACTATGGCACTTGAGGACTTGAGAAATAGAAAATGATGAACATAAAAGAAGCATTCACAGTTAATAAAGTGAAATAAAATCACAAGAAAAGAGCTAACATACGTGAATCCACCCCACAGGAAAAAGCGATTGTTCGTTCTGTATGGCAAAAAATTCTTCCTCTTTTATAGCCTCACACTGTCATGAAGTTAATAAATTAGGCCTGTAAAAAAGTCTCCACAAATGACGTCTCAAAACCAGCAAAAAATTTGTAAAAATGCCTTTGGGGACTCACAGAATTCGCAGTTGATTTTTGTTTTGGTATTATCAGAGTGGTAACGTAGAAGGTCCCCCTTTCCTGATTGTGTTAAGGACGAAACCAAATGCATTTGATTTAGTTAGATGAATGCTCATCAAAAATAAATTCCCATTAACTAACAGGAAGTAAAAAATGAAAACAGGTCTACCGCAGCTAAACGGAATAAAAGCAAAAAAATAGTTTTTTGATGCCAAGATTCCATTCTCCATAATATTGTTGATAAGTTAAAAAAAAAAAAAACTATGGATTTTGATTCTAGAATATATAGACAGAAGTATGAATCTTACAAGGAAAGCACCAAGAACCCCACAGGTTTCAAGATCCTTCTCTGTATTTTCTCTAGCAAGTTCTAGAAAATCCTCCATCAACCGTGCGGACTGAGACAAAAACCACAAAAAAATATCCATCGGTCAGATAACTAACCTGAAGTATTTATAATACGTAACAAAATAACCTGACATGAAAAAAGGATTAGATGAAGGTTTTGCATGATAATACATTAAAGATATATACTGACTGTCTCACACGGTGCACAGTTCCTAAGTGCTTACTACATGTATATCTTGCAAGATGTTACTTGATGTTGTCTGATTGCTTGTATTTGTGTCTGAATTGGCAACTGGTATAAGGGAAATATGAGCATGTTTAGGTGCCTTCTCTACGCATGAGAGTATGGGAGAAGGGGAAGACTGAGTAACAGTATGAACAGAGACATTCTGGCATTTGTTGTCTGTCTTTATCAGGTTCTGACAGGGAAATTCAAGCGTGTACAAACTAGGGCTAGAATCCAATGAATAAAAAGATGCTAGCTCAGCTTCATCTTCACTGATGATAGTTAATCTGTAATACAAGCAAGTTACCAAACTCAAATACTGTGCCATATGAAACATACGTCAACTTAGAAATCGTAACTTTAGCTAATTAAGGCCGCAGAAGAGGCATACTTGGGAGAAAAAAATGCATAATTTGAAATATATATATACACGCACACAAGAAGGAATATCATACCTTTGGTCTTTTCTTTCTGCAACAGCAGAGTCTTTAGACTGTGTCATAATGCATATATATAATCAGAAACAACATCATCTAGATGTATTGTAAACTTTAAAGAACACATGACAATATCAAATTTTCCTTATTAATCCCACTACTTAAATTAAAGGCCAAAGAAAATAAACTTAAAATACTTGTGTGATATCAGCCTGTTTAGAGTTTAATTGTGAAACCCATTTGATCATTTCTGTATTACTTGAAAAGAGACATCCTATAACAAATATATCGTGATAGATCAGATCAACTTGCATAAATAGAAAGTAAACTCAATTGACAGAACTTAAAATCCTTCTCAGCAATTGAAATTATTCATCCATAGAAGCTATCACTTCTCATTATTTGTGCCTATAGATTGGTTAACTTCCTCTTTATCTTTTTCCTTCATGCTCCCAAATTCTGAGAACTAACAGAAGCAATTTCCTGGCGTCAAGCAAATTCCCGCAAGCAACAGTTCACCTTTAAGCTTGGAGATGTTGAATCATGTCCTACTATAGCTTTCAACGTCCCCTGCCCTTGAACCAATTGACCGTACATCTGAGAAAGCAACGAAATCTTCTATCAAGCTTTCCGTGCAGATTTTTAATCAGAGAAGAAAGCGAACGGGACTTGAAGAAAGAAGGGAACTAAGATGGTGTAATACTGGATACAGTCAAACCTATGCTGTATTTATATAATTTGCCTTTGATCAAACTAACAGAACAATATTTTGCATTACTGAGAAAACAGAGAAAGGAAAAAAGAAAAAGAAAAAGCTTCAATAAAGAGAGCAGAGTGGGCTAGGTAGATAAGAATGGAATCTGCGTCAGAGTGTTTTTCCTTGTCTTTAGTGGCGATTCAGCTAATGGGCACCAGAAATTGAGCAGAGATCAGGTGCGTGCTACCCTTGCAATCTTTGGTGGAACTGAAAATGGCCCTTACAATTTATTTGGACTGGATATTGGACGAATAGTAATTTATTAAATAAATTTCGGCAGTATACAAAAATAACAGGGGAGGGGAAGGATTGTTGCTAAAACTAGAATAAATTGGCAAATAGAATTTTCTGATTACAAAACAGGCTGGTCCATTAAAAACACAGTGACCAAAAATGTCGCCAAGGACCATGATATTATCATTTTCTATCTTCTTGTATATCATTTGGACTTCTCCGTCCCACTAGCTCCAGTATTTGAAGAACTTGAGCAACTCAATGCTTTAGACATTCAACTATCTGCATGCGACTGTCATCAATCATTCCGTCTTGAATAATGGCTTCAATTGTCATGCATTCTATTATAAGAGCTTGTCACAGACCTATTTTCAGGTTTTAATTCTGTGATTCTGGAATTATTCGGCGGCCAATTTCGCATTGCATTGTCACTTCCTAATTTTGTAACTTTGACATTACCACGCCACCATGGGACTGAATTGTCACCGTTCAATTGAGAAGCAAACCCAGAAACTTGCATCTTGGAGCCTTCATTGTGTACTTGAGAGTTGTTTTGGGCTTTAGCAACCTCCCATGGCTATTTGATAGCAAACAAGCAGAAAGAACCCAAAGGTATAAAACAAATAAGTACACTAATAAGCAACTACTCCAAAAATAAATAAGAGAGAGGAAAACATACATTCTGGTGTTGCTTTTTATGCCACCAGAGAATATTGTGTCATATTCAAACAAGTCATGTTATGTATCATGTCTTCCAAATGTGAGACAAGATACAAAAATGAAAGTAAATAACAATAAAAAAACTAGAGGGAAGCTTACCTTTTTTCTTGGAGCCAACCAAGGATTTGGTAGAGGCTGAGTGACGTTTGGATGTGAACCATTGATTTCCTGGAATTAAAAATAGGAGGAGAACATTTATTCCAACCGCTAACGAGTTGAGCAAAAACTCAAACTGCATGGATGTAGACTTACTTTTCTACCGGGAGGGGTTTCTTGTCTTTGTACTGTGTTCTGAAAATAACTGATTTAGGACTACAAACTAGTGTAAGAGAAAAGGGTGAGGGGAGAAGAGGGGGGAAACCAGCAGCTTTCACATGTCAAAATGTTATGGATACTAGAAAACTGCCATTTTTCTGACATGGTTTATTTACTACTCTGTTTCAACTACAGTAGACGTGCCCACTTAATCCTATCAGAGTTAAATATTAACGGTACCTCATGATTTTAGAAGATAAATCTATTCCCAAAAACAACAAAGTATGGTTAACCAACTCGTATTTGCTCAGCTTATGCTTATTTTCCATGTAGAAATTCTATCCACAGATTAATAATGATGGACAAAAAACAAACTCCAGGTTTTAATTCCACATAAAAATTGCTATCCCTACAAGCAACTCTATACTCATGCCTGCTGGAGGTTAGTGATGAGAGAGAGAGTAACAACTGAGAACATCCAAAAGCTTGTTACCTCAAAGAAGGACTCTGGATGCTGAACAACATAAGGTCTCACTGAAGCAGGAGCTGATGAAGGCCTCACTATAGAAGAAATACTAATTGTCAGAGAGGTAGAATAGAGTGCTGTACTAAAAGCATAAGAAAATCCAAACAATTTAGACAAACATCAATGGACATTGACACTCTTTTAAGTTCCAACAAAAATAAATAAAGCAATAATCAATAAACAAACAAATAAAAGCATGGAAGTAGACCAGGATGCTTGAAGAAGAGCCTAGTAAATAGACGCAATTTAAGATCTAAAACCCCGTGAAAAAAAACAGTGCAATATAAATATTCTTAATTTACTCTTGAAGTGGTCTCAGATTTTCTAGTACAATCATCAACACCAGTTGATTTCCATGAAATGTTACTAGTCTTATTTTACCAAAAATTCATATGAAATTCATGCAACTTAAAAACTAAACAAGATGGATAGAATCTAAGATCACCATGCTGCTCAAGGCATCAGGTGATTAACATATAATGAAGAAAATAATGCTAAAGCATTTTGAACATTGGTGCAATGGAAGCAATCAGTTTGTTATCTTTTTATAAATTTTTCTGCTCAGCTCATTGCCAATTGAGTAATGCACTCTACATTCATATAAATGCTAAGCACAATCCTTGATACAATTCAAGATGCACAAAATCAACCGACACAAGTAACACACCATTCTTTGATGCATGCTGAGCTTGATGTTTCTTTGATGAGAGAGCAGCCTCCCTTGCACCTTCCAATTTCCAAATTGCATTACTCATTGACTTTATCTCTGCTGCTTGGATGTCAAGATGCTTTGCTAGTGCCTTAAAGTAACTCTTCTCTAACAAGAGATACATGAATCATGAATGTAGGAGACTTAGAGTAAGACAACACAAAATGAATCAAATGCTTGCAGTCGTTTTCTTTTTTCTTTTTTTTCTCCTCATTTCCTTGGGATATCAGTGAGGGGCGACTTCTTACAGAACTCAAACGGACAACATCCATAGTCATTTCAGATGACTATGCCTCGGAATTACTCACCGTGCTAAACACAAGTTAGAAGTGCATACCTTCATTGTTAGAGTTCAACATAGCTTGAATTGTTTTTGTCACATCAGAAGCAGCAGTCGCAGCTACCTTGGCAGCTTCTGTTGCTTCATGCAAGCCTTCTGATTTTCTTGTACCATTATCATGTTCTTCAAAAACAGCCTTAAGAATCCAAATCTTCAAGCTAGGCAAAATAAATTTCTGAACAAGGCATATATCACCAAAAGAGCAACAATAATTTTACTACAAACAATTAAAAACATTTGAGGCACTTAGCCAAGTGATCTGATAGAAAAGAACACGTTAAAATACCTTGACGAACACAACTGTTCCAACACCTGAGGCAGCAAGAACCCCAAGGGCAACAAGAAAATGTGACCAGTAAAATCGGTAAGGCAATGCAATAGGTGGCCTGGAAATCACACTGTTAGAAGCGACTGGTGGAGGTTGCAAGGATTGCGCTGTAGGTTGCAGCTGAACTTCTGCTACCAACTTGGAATGTGCATCTGCTCTTGAGAGCGAGAAGACAAACAAGAAAATTAACACTTTGTTCAAAGAAAAAGAAGTAGAAGAAGAAGAACATTAGCAGTCTGAGGGAAGCTAAGCTATGATCAATTACTATTGAACACATTTAATAATCTTAAATCTACATAAAAAGACTAACACCATAGTATCTAAATCAATAATCATAAATGAAAGATCATAATAATCACTTGCACCCAAAAATCAAAAAAATCTTGCTAACCTTGATTCAAGGTATGACCTTGTCCGATAGTTGCATCCTGTAAATTGCAGGGGTGAAAAATATGAAGGAAAAGGATGCAAGTGATCATAGAATAAGAGTTTGCTCAAGAATTTGAATTAATTGTATAACCAAAAGAAAGAAGAATGTCCTACAGGAACACGGTGAAAGGCCTCATCTATCTCCTGATCGGTAAGGCCTTTCTTCTGAAGAAAAGATCGTCGTTGGGTGATCGGAGAACCACTAACGCTTGGATGTGATAAGAACTTAACAGCCATCTGTATTAGTTCCTCTCGCATTGATTCTACTGGGAGTTCCCTTAAATTTTGGCCATCTTTGTCCATTTCTTTGTCAAGCCCTAAAACCCATTCCCAGAACCAAGATTAAAAACCCAAATTTCATTCTTAATTATTGTTTTAATGGAAGATTTTATTGTAACTGGATATGACCAAAAGAAAAAGGAAAAAAGTCTGACCTTGACTCTGCGGCTTAGTGTTTGAAAATTTAGAAGAATCAATATCTTCGATCCCCATATATTTAGTATTCGATAACCGCCAATTCGTTTACTTAAATGCAGGGCATACCAGCGATCATGTTCAAACTTAGGAACAGTATTGAAATGAAATCGGAAGAAGAAGAAGAAAACGAAGAAGACGAGTGCCCAAGTGGGAAAATGCTTGGGGTTGCAGGTTCTAGAAAATGGGCTGCTATAGAATACTGGACCCGGCTTTGGGCATCAACTGTGTGCCCATAGCTTTAGTTTAGTTTTGGGCTGAAACAGTAATGGGCTTAAAGCCTAGCAGGCTTAATACTTCTTGCTCTTTCAGAGAAAGAGATAATGGGAACAATGAAAATCAAATTTGAACTTTTACATTTTAATTATAAAATTTTGATTCACTAATTGTTGTTTTTTTCCTTCTAAATCATCCCATGTTCTAAGTCTACTGGTTCGACTAATTTGAATCCGCATCAAGCAAGCTTATGAAAGGAGCAAAATGTCTCATTCCGAGTATTTAAAGAACTTCGTACCTATGATTCAAACTCAAAATTTTTGATTAAAGAAAAATGGATCACGTCATCATATTTCAGCCTAACGATGGTTGGTTTTTGAAATGTGTTTAAAAACTTCTGTAAGAATTTTGTTGGTGACCAAAATCTAACCTGAGTTTGTGTTAGGTCGGTGTGAAGGAACTTGACAGTTAGCTGAAATGAATGAAAGGCTTTGATTGAGTGAGGTGAGACCAGACTAGAGAATAACTAATATCCACAACATAAGATTCTCATCTTCAAAATAGATAGCTGTGCTCTTATTACCTCATCTTTCACTTTCTCTATCTACTGCCAAAAACTTTGTTTCCTTTCTTAAAACTTGTCCCTCGCCATTATTTCAAATTCTTAATTGGTCCCATCTATTTTTTAAAACATTTTCAGCTTTCAGCTTTCCTTCCACAGCTAACCCTTTGGTGGAAGGAAAGGGGTCCATTTCTCTCTTGCAGCCTCACAGCTATGCATTTTGCTTCCATTTCTGGTCATTAATCTCTCTCTCTCTCCCCCTCTCTTATCTATCTTTCATTTAATTAAATAATTTCCCTATTGGACTTTGTCCTATAAGCTTTGGGAAGAGCCATTATTATCTAATAATAATCATTAATTCATATAGTTAGTGGTCTTTTCCATGGCTAATAAGAATTATTTTTTTTACTTTAAAAAACCATAGTTTCAAAGAGTCAAGAAGTCATAACAGTGGTGGTGGTTGTGGTGGCCTAGCTTAGTTACTGTAGAGTAATATATTTTTTATTAAAAGAAATAAATTTCTATTTTTATTATAAAAATTCTGCATGATGTTTTCTTTCCTTTGTTCTTTTTTCTTTCATTTGACAGGTGGGGAAAGGTGGATATAGCTGAATAGGAGGAGCATGGCAGGAAAATTTGGAAAGTGTATGCTGCTGTGTTGTTCAAGAAAAGTCTCTGTAAGTTGTGAAAATTCACTCTCTTTTTCAGTTCCATTATTATTATAATCATTATAGTCGTCCCAAAAATAATATAAAATGAACAAAAAATCATATAACTTATATGTATAATGTGAATATAAAGTATCTGTTGGAGTCACCATTAGATAATAGACTTTTTTTTTTTTCTTTTGAATGGGTAATAGAGTTAATTTCAATTTTGGTGTATTAACTTTATAAACCTTTAATCAAAGTCAACCTATAGAATAAAAAATATTATTGGAGGGTTCAAAAATCTTTAACCTCTACATTCGACAAGGATTGCTTATTGAATTTATTCGATAAAATTAGTTATTTTGATAGTTATTTAACTGTTTTAATAGTTTAGTTGTTTGAGTATATAATAGTCATTTGTGTAGTTTTTAATAAAACGATAACAGCTAAATGTCATGACAGTTATTATTTTTTAAAACGTTATCTTAACTTTTAAAAATTAGTTCAAATGCTATGTTCTCAGATACTATAAAAAAAGAGCGGGTGGTATTATTTTTAGAGTTTAAATTGTTATTAGCAGAGCAAAATCTATTAATAGATAAAATCATCTTATATTCCTTTTACTTATGTCATTTTTACATTACTTCATTTAAACTCTGATGAATTTTCATCAATGTAAAACTGCCCGAATTTTTACTATAATAGTTCCGGTTAATCGTATTCTACTTTGGCCGGCTTCCTTCTCTGCCCTCTGCCTTCCTTCTCTGTCAAAGTTCAAAAATCTCATATTTTGTTTCCTTATCCTTTCTAGATTTGGTTTTGATAAACCCATTTCATCTTTTCTAAAAGTTGATGATTTCTTCTATCCTTAAAGGTACCGGATAGTATAAATACATTTGGAATATTAAACACTATAGATTCTTCTAAATTCCACCATTTTCGATCTAAGTTCAATATGTTTTGAATCGTGTAACCAAATGCAATATCTCTCTTATTTAAAAACCAAAAGGCAATATGTTTTGCAAATTATATTAACAGTTTCAAATTTTGATTGCAAATGGGTGGAATTTGAAAAGGAAATAAGACTTAGAAATTGATTACCAAAAAAACAAGCATAGATGGATGGATTTTAAAGGTAAAAATAAATAGAGAAATAGAAATAAATAAATAATTAAAAAATTAAAACTTGATGAACAAGAAAAAAATGGTTGTTTTATTTTATGATGTGAAGAAGAAGAAGAAGAAGAAGACAAAGGAGATGAGTGAAAAGTTAAGATATTGTGGATGAATATGGAAAGTTACGTTATTGGGTTGATTATGGATTGAGAGTAGTAGAACACCATTTTTTATGCAAAGGGTAATTTTGTCCATCGATAAATTTTACTCTATTAATAACAATTTATGTTCTAAAAATAACATCAACTAAAATAACGTTTATCATGTTAATCGATTAAAATGTTAAAAGGTGGTACACAATATATATATATATATATATATATCAACCAATAGAATAAAAAGGGCAAAAAAGAAGCTTAGCCTCACCATTTAATATTGAAAATTGGAAAAGAAGTAGGTTTCAACGCAATAAGATGGAATTTGACTTTTTTTTAATTTTTTCTATTAGCCTATTGCAACAGACTACCAATATTTTCTATTGTTGAAATATTGCATTTCACTTTCAAATTGGAGAGCTGAAACTTAAAATTGACTTAGAATTGGAAATCAAGTACGGTCAGGTAGTTTCTAGTCAGGTTGTAACTTAGTTACAACTAGGAATTATCCAAAGCTGTCTCTATTCTTTATAAGACTGCTTTTCTACATTTTTCCACCACCTTAATTGTGAAATTCCATAATCCCTTTTGTCCTAATCCCAATTAAAAAAAATAATTAAAAATAGGCTACGTACCTTCTCCAATGGAATTGCCCCAATAAGGAGTGGTACAGACTTTGTCCCCCGTCTACTTCACCCTTTCCATTGGGAATCTAAAATCATTTATTTATATTATTTATTTAATATCATTTTTATTATTTCAATAATTAAGTAAGTAACTTACAATATCATTTATTTATATTATTTCAACTAATAAAAATTTTCAGTTTCTTTTCTAATAATTAATAAAATTAGTATTATTATCATTAATAAAATTTCAAAAATCATTTTTCTTATGCTATAAGAAATTTATAAAATGAATATGAATAAAACTAAGTTGGCAAGAAAAACTGTTTTTTGTGTTATTTTTTGATGAGTTTTTCTATTTAGACATTAATTGAATATATTAATATTAACATCGTTAATAATAGTTTAACTTTTTTCAATAATTAAATAACAATCAATAATATCATTAATATTATTTCAAATAATAAAATTTTTTTAATAATTAACGAAATCAATATATTATCTAATATTTTATCAATAAAAATTTCAAATCATGTCTTATACTATCACAAATTTATAAAATAAATTGAATAGAAAAAAGCAATAAAAAAATATAAATCTAAATTTTTTTTAGAAGAAATCTAATAAAAGTTATAATAATTAAAAATTTTAAGGTTTTTTTTTTTATTAATGCAACAAAATTATTGTTTTGAAATATTGATTATTGGAAAAACGGAACCAAAAAGCATTTTTATCAATACAATAAACTTAGGGGTTATTAGTTATTACATTTAATTAGTACATATAAGCAATTAAAATTTATGCCTCAAAACTTTAGAATGCGATGATAAGAATACCACTACTAAATTCATACAATGTTATATAAATTTTTTTAAAATAATATAATTAAATTTCACATGGCGTGCAACGCACATGTACATGACTAGTATATCTATATATTTAATTGATTAGATTGATAAAGTACAATGAATTTATAATTAATAAATGTATATTTTCATAGAATTGCGAATGCATTCCAAAAATTAATAAATTTTTAAATTTATCAATTAATTAATATATCTCTTTTAATCAATAGAGTTGATATGATCCTAATGTTATACTTTAAGTCAATTCACCCTTTTAAATGATTTATAAATGGAAAGTGAGGATTTGGTGAATTTTTTGCTATTTATGTATTTTATATTGCATTAGAGGCAAATATGATGCTTGACAATTTCGAAAAATACAAGATAAGAAAATAAGTTGGTGTGATGTAGACGAACAAATTATTAATTAAAAAATTATTTAAAAGCTTCAACGTTAATAAATAATTTATTTTTCCCCTTTATTAATTATTATTAAATTTTTAATATAAATACTTAATACAAATACACACACAAATAGTCTATAAAAATATTATTTTAATTTTTTAGAAATAAAATAAATGTCTATTTTCTCCTGAAATGATGACTAGATGAGCGTTAACGTCGCATTTTTTCCTGCCTCCACGTGTCGAGAATCATACGTTCATTCAGTTGACTTAACCACCGCAATCCTCGCTGGCCACTCAAATACCGTCAGCTATTTTTTTGTATTTTCTGCCACTATTATTGAATTAGTCCAAACACCCTACGATCATCCTCTTCCATAATCAACGGTCAATAAAAGTTTCTCAATCTTTATAGGTCACACTACATCATTTGCTTTCCCGTTCGGACAACGCGCTTCAGGTGCACTAATTTATTATTTTTGACCACGGTTAATGAGAAAAAATAACCCTATTCAGTCAAAGAGACAGGACGCTATTTATGTATGAAGCCAAGTGCGTGAGTTGAGGTAGCTAATTTTCTCTTCCCAAACAGAGAACAGAAAAGCAGAAGCAGGATCTCATATCAACACAGAAAAAAAGAAGGAAAAAAGGTCTGTAAACTGTAATCAGATGCTTCCTCGCCTAGTATATGCACCGATCCCGATTCAGATTTTAACTGTTTCAGATTTTTTATCTTTTCAATTTACTTTCACTGTTCATTTCTTTTTATTCAATTTCATAAGAATTCCTTAATTTTATTATTTCTTTTGAATTTTCTATCTTCTGATCCTCTGGATACTTCAATTGGAAACCGCTGCGTTTGTTATGTTTTGGGTTAATGAGAGCTTCAGGAATTGATGATTCGTTAATTAGCTGTTTAGTTTTTGATGATGATGATTTAATCTCTTTCGTTTTTATTATTTTAACAGAAGGAAGAAGACATGGCAAACGATTCATACGAGGAAGCCATTGCAGGACTGTCAAAGCTTCTGAGGTACTGTCTTTTATGCTTCTCTGTCCTTTCATCGTCCAAACAAACAAATTACAAATCTGACATATAGAATTGATTTACTTTTGTCTTGTACTATAATTTAAAATTATTTTGTTCCTCATTAATCCAAAGCAAAGCCTTCATTAATCTTCTTGCTAATTGCTGATGATGGATAGACGCCTTATAGAGTCAGTTTTTTTACGACGTGGGGCCCATTGAAATGAGCGGCTTAGATTAGGCCCTTCTTCAGGATAGGTCCCACGTCAGACCCCAACGATTTATAACTGACTGTCCTTTTGGTGGTTGTACTTTGATCCGTCCTCATTATTGACAGTGAAAAAGCCGACCTCGGGAGCGTCGCCGCTGCGAAAATCAAGCAGATAACGGCGGAACTAGAGGCGGCCGGTTCAGCTGAATTTAACGCGGAGCAGCGGATGAAAGCCGGCTTCGTCCACTTTAAGACAGAGAAATATGAGTATGTATTGTACTTTTTTTTTCTCTTAGGTTGTTTTCGCGGAATATGCTGTCCGTTTGATCCTTATCTGATCTATTTTTGTACGTTTGGCTGATTTTGCTGATGCCAGTCAAGAACCATTGGTCAAATCATTACTATATATATATATATATATATTTATTTTTTTGTCGTTTGGCTGATTTTTTGCTGATGCCAAAGTCAAGAACCATTGGTCCATCATGTACTAAATATATATAATATATATTTATTTATTTATTTTGATCCTTTTTCTTTAATTATTATTAATATTTTTCAAATTAAACTATGTATAATTCAATTCATTTGTTATTATTACTAATTCAATAAAAACAAAAATTTTCTCTTAAATTAAATAGCATAAATGTTGTATAACATAGTCTTAATCGTAAAAATTGCAAAAGGTTGAAAGAACATATACATATATATATATATATTTATTTATTTATTTTGATCCTTTTCTTTATTATTATTAAATATTTTTCAAATTAAAAACTATGTATAATTCAATTCATTTGTTATATTATTACTAATTCAATAAAAAAAATTTTCTCTTAATTAATAGCATAAATGTATGTATACCATAGTCTTAATCGTAAAAATTGCAAAAGGTTGAAAGAACATATACAATTGGGGTAATAATGCATTTGTCGGACAATTTTCAGGAAAGATCCTACCTTGTACGGTGAACTTGCCAAAGGCCAAAGCCCAAAGGTGAGTGGTTCTCCTAATTAATATATTAAATTTTTTTTTGACTCCCAATAAATAAATAAAAAATATTTTTTCCTACTATTACTATATACATTATTTTCATGTATCCAGCGAATCAAGTGGGGTTTCCATGCATACAATGATTGCTTTGTTTTACTAATTTTTATTTATTTATTCTTAATTTAATGAATTATTCATCAAATTAACTAATGAAGAAACATTTTTTTTAATGTATATGCAGTTTCTGGTTTTTGCTTGCTCAGATTCTCGCGTTTGTCCTTCTCACATCCTCAATTTCCAACCAGGAGAGGCCTTTATGGTCCGAAACATTGCCAGCATGGTCCCACCATATGACCAGGTTTGTTCAATAATTAAAAACAACTCTTTCCTAATCTACAAATTTTAGTATAAGTTTTCAGAAATTATTATTTTATTTATTTTTTTTTTTTTTGGAATTGCGCTATTTGTATCCTATCCGGATCCGGATACAATTACATAAAATAAGTTAAATGATTTTATTTCTAGATATATGTTTGTTTTATGTTTTCTTTTGCCTGCAGACAAAATACTCAGGAATGGGGGCAGCCATTGAATATGCAGTACTGCATCTAAAGGTAAAAATAAATTACTACAATATAGTAACTTTTACTCTTTAACACGTCATCAGGTCAAAATCTTAATGGTGGTGGCTCTTCGCGTCCAACCTTGGTGGGGGGAAACGTGATGTCTAGTCATTACTCATTGCTTCCTGCAACCTTCTTTACTCATTTTTCATTAATAATATTACCAAATGGCTCCGACCATTTTATAGTTTTGATAATATTTTATTTTTTCTTTTTAATGAAGTGTATTTGCTTCTTCTGTTGCCTTGCCTCCATGCATACCAAAAATGGGTAGTTAATAGTTAATTTTTTCTTCTCTGTTGTCTGAGTTCAGGTGGAGAATATTGTAGTCATTGGCCATAGTTGCTGTGGTGGTATTAAGGGGCTAATGTCTATCCCAGATGATGGGAGCACTTCTAGGTAATCATCCTTAAATCACACAACTAAATTAGATTGGATTAAGGAATTTAGGAGAATAAACATGAATAGTATAGCATTTTAATGATTTTGGCTCTTCTTGAGTTTCCAAAAGTTAGATTCTCCCACCATGTGATGCATTTCTCATGAATTATATAAAAATATGTTCCTTTTTTAGTTTCTCTCCTATCACTTTCTTGTTTCCTACTCTACATAATTACTAAAAATAATTAGGAAAAATTAGTTTATTAAGTGGTGCCATATTCTTGGAGAGGAATCTAAAAAGAAAAGTTAAAAAGAAAAGCAAGAAAGACACCTTTCAAAATTTTAAAAGAGACAGAACGATACAAGTGGTAGATTTAACAATCATATGCGAAGGAATATGCATATGTTGATCAATTGGTGTTTGTGCAACTTCAAAATCATATAGTATGGAGTAGACCTTTTTCTTCTCTCTGTTTTTGCTTCTATAAAGTTCACTGCAACCCCCTTTTTTTTTGTGTTATGAAAATGGATGTCCAGTCAAGAATTGTCCTATTCTCAAGTTTCTTTTTTATTTTTTAGTTTTAATTAATTAAATTTCTTACACTTTTATTTTTACGTAGTGACTTCATAGAAAATTGGGTCAGCATCTGTTCGGCCGCAAAGTCTAAGGTGAAGACACGGTGTAGCAGCTTAAGTTTTGAAGAGCAGTGCCACAACTGTGAGAAGGCAAGTTATAAATAGTTAAATACAACTCAAGAAAAATAGTTAATTACATATACAATAAATGCTGCAACTTTTTATGTTGTTTCTTGATTATAGTTTATTATTATAATTAATCATGTTTAAGTTAAAGATAAGGCTTCAACATAAGATACAGAGAAAGAAGATTCCAAGGTCAACCCTTATGTTTAAAGACTACCGACAAAATGAAACTTGGCATCAGATTCTAGTTTGGCCATGTGACTAGTAGCAAGAAAGCAACACAAAAATAATAGATAAAGAAATTAATTAATCTAGCTCATGGTGCTTAATTATAATTTGTGATTGTTCTAAACTGAAATATTGTTTGATTAAAACAAATCTCACTGGAGAATTAAAATTGTAAGGATCGGAATGTATGTCAAGACGAACCTCATGTGCTATTCTGTAATTAAACATTGTATTATTGATGAGTTGCAGGAGGCTGTGAATGTATCACTGGGAAACCTGTTGACATATCCATTTGTTAAAGAGGGAGTGTTGAAGAAAACTCTGGCATTGAAAGGAGCACATTACGATTTTGTCAATGGAAATTTTGAGCTTTGGAATCTTGATTTCAAGATTACTCCTCCTGTTGTTGTATGAACTAGTTAAGCTTCTTCATTCTTCCCATTTCAAAAAGATCATCTCTCTTGTTGCATTGGAAACTGTAAATTTTCCAAATCAATAATGTTTGTTGAAGCTGAAAGAAACAAGAGTCTGCATTATTGTATTTAATTTGCCTTCCAATTTAGTTTTTGCAGTTTATTTAATATTTCTTTTCTTTTCTTTTTTAATTATAGATTCTGATTAGTATTTGAACTTAATTGCAGGCAGAAGAGAGAACTTTCCAATACCATTTAGCTAATTCCTGATCAATTCTTTCTTTTTCGTTGATATTATTGGAATTTGGAGACATATATGATAAAAAAAAAAACTTTATCTATTTAATTATTATTTATTTAAAGACTACCAGGGTTTGAAATTAATTGAAAAAATCCACTAAATCTGGCTATTCAAATTGAAAAAATCATCATCATTATAAAATAATGATAAATCATCAACTTGAAGCTGTGCTTCTCCTCCATTGGAAGAATCAGTACCGACACCAAAAGGGTCTTCATTATTTATTATAGCCTTGCCATTTTGTAGAAACTGACCGGAGTTATTAATTTCTTGAATTTCAGTTTTGGATGATGACCTAATGACTGGTTTTCTTGCTTGCTTTTTTAAGCCAAGTCTTTTGCGCAAATGACAATTCCAATGGTTCTTTACTTGGTTAGCCGTCCTTCCGGGCAGTCTTCCGGCTATCAGAGACCACCTGTATTTAGAACTGTGAGATTGTAAATTTAAACTTTAACAAAAGAACAGTAAAAGAGAAGAAGAGAAATACCTATTTCCGAGGAGGTTATGGAGTCTAATAATAAGATCATCTTCCTCTTGAGAGAAATCAGCATGGTTGACATTAGGGCTTAGATAGTTCAGCCATCTTAATCTGCAGCTCTTTCCACACCTTCTCAAACCTATGCAATATACCTAAAAAATTAAGTTTTGCTATATGTATATATAGTTCTTAAGTAATTAGTTATTAATTACCTGTTAATTGAGAAATGCGGTTCCATCTTCCTCCTCCATTTACTCTAATATACTCCATTAAAATCCTATCTTCCTCTTTTGTCCAAAACCGTTTCTTGAACTGATCCTTCTCTGCCTTCATTTTCCTTTCTTTAACTGCCTTTGCAACAGAGAGTATGGGGAAGGTTCTTTAAATATTTATTGTGCCTTCGGCATTGGTAGGTAGCTAGCCGCTTTAATTTTCAGACATATAAGCATATGTGGCCAAATTATGTACAAGTGAAAATCCTTCGCCATGTTATCTTTATATCATGCCCTAATGCATAAAATTGCCATAAATTTTAGAATTTCATCCTTGTGTTATCCTAAAATTTTTAAAAAATCCATCGCAACTTTGATTAAAGTTTTAATTTTTATTATAAATAAGTACTTAATTTCAAAAGCATGATGGGATCTAAAAATTGTTAGTAACAATTATATTTATAAATCCTAGATCGCGATAATAGGTTTTTCGAAAATTTTAGGGTGTTATTCGAATAAAACTTTAAAATTTAATAGCAATTTCACATATGTGATTATTTATATCATACACGTATGCGTCCAAGCAAACTCTTACTAATTCAAGCAAAATATTATTCAAGTATTTAATTTTTGCCCTTATGGGCCGTGCTGCCCTAGATTTTGGATTTGAAATTGTTTGTAAAAGTATGCAGTAATTTAAATCAAGGTTTCTTCAATAACGAATATTTTTATAACCATTAATGTCTAGTAGACGTGTCATCTTTATAGCCATTCCAACTAGCTACTCGGGAAAGTGGACAGATTTGTGATGGCAATAGAAGTGGCATAAATGCAGGCCACATCACATCCATGCATTGTCTAATTATGGACATGAGATTCAACCTTTTCATCACCTACAACCATAAATACATAAATTCAAAATTTTAAATGCATTGAATTTTTTGCATATGCCTGGTCAAGTGACTTCAATGCTTAGCTTCTGTTGTACTACTCTAGCATGTAAGGAGATAGATAAGGTTTTTATTTATCAGAAAATCAAATCCAAGAGCCAAAGCTTGGATAAACATGAAATCCCTTAACTTAATGTGTTTGATAATATTGTTTGAACTGTCAATTAGGTACGACCTATTTAGTTTTTACACTAATATAAAAAAGTTAAAAATTTTAAATTCAAATTTTTTCGACCACTAGAGTTTTCAATCCATATTATATAATCTATAAAGTATTTCGGTTCATTCAACCTTCTAACAAACAAAAAAGATATTGTTGTTTGATATCAGTGCAACATACGCTGAAACTCCGTGTTTCATTAGTCAATCTAAAAGCTTAATACCTATGGGCAAAGGTCCAGTAACAGTTTATGTTTCTGTATCACTCTTCAAAATTGAGGGATTCAGAAAGGCCCATGTTCCTATTTTCATGCCCAGTCTATCTCCCCCAGCTCAAAAAGTGCAACTCTCAAGCGCTTGAAGTTAGATACCTTTTACTGAAACTCAAATTGACAAACAAGTTTGAAGCCTAGAAACCACTGTCTGATAATGCATGTGAGCACTCAAAATTTCAATTTAAACCTCATAAAATGTATTTATACATCCACATATTGATTCTAACACTTTGATACAAGTTAGGAGATACGCATTACAAAAAGGTCCTATTTTCTGCATTTTCAGGGAATTGGATGTATAACTACCTTGCCAGTAGCTCTGCCTGTTTCAATATAGGAGAAAGCCTCAGCAACCTGAGAAAATGCGAATGGCCCTTTAGGATCAATCACTGGCTTTATTTTTCCACTTTCCAAGAATGGGTTTAGTTTCTTAAGAACTTCTCCATTGGAAGTGACCACAAATCTGAAACCAGGTGGTGTGACTGCACCAGTTAAGGCCACTACGCTGCCCCCTTCTTTGATAGCCTTCACTGCTCTATCACATTGACCTATCATGGAAAAAGAGAAAAAAACAAAAAAGATTTAGTTTCAGCTGACTGGAAGCAATCTTAAGATGAATTAAAGGTGCTAATAGTACTGATCACATTTAGTCATCAAGAAATCTATTATAATTAATTGTATCTTTCATTTGTGTTCAAACCGGTTAAAGCCTGATTATATCACCCAAAACAGGTTAGAACTTTTCTTGATTGGTATTTCAGGCCTTGACTAATTGCACTGCAGGACTGATAACTAATTATTGGCTACTTAGTTTGTGATGGACAAAGCTCAATGACAATACCTTCCCAAAACAACAATCAGTACAAAATCTTACCAATAGCATCATAGACTACATCGAACTTTTCTGGCAAATCTTCGAAGTTCTCCTTAGTGTAGTCAATAGCCAAATCAGCACCCAGACTCTTTAACAGTTCCAAATTTCTAGTGCTTGAAGTAGCTGCAATTCTAGAAGCACCGAATACATGTTTTGCGAGCTGCACCAAGCATATAAGAGTTTATATGCATAACATGTAAAGGATAGAACAAGTGTTTCTATTTGCCTTTTAAATTATTCTGTAATCATTATAGCGGCATATTTGAGGAATTTGAGGTCAGCAGAACAGATCCTATTCCCAAGTCCGAGCAATTAAAGGTTCAATCTTCTTTGCTATTATTAATTGACACAAAATTTCATTTCCTTTGGTTTCATTAGTCAGTGGATGAAGATTAGTCATTAACACATAAGTTTAACAGCCCTACAAGATGCTTTGATTGGCAACCAAAACAAGTTTGACACGAAACACGAGTTGAGGGAAGCCATACATAATCAAGAGCAGAAGAGAATAAAAGCACTCGCAATAAATAAGAATCAGAAATAGACAATTACATTATTGATAAAGAAACTTATTATAACTTTGAAAACAAAGTACATTCATCAGTGAAGCATACTAAGGAGTTTATATTGTATCCAACTAACCATATATGGATGAGAAATAGAAAAATGAAATTGAAGGCAATAAAGCTTCTGTTGGCGTCAGATGCTATTTGAAATCAACTCAATTTTTATTAAATTCTTTTGATAATTGTAGAAAGAGTACTAATCTGTCCTTCAAAAGCAGTAAAATAAGTACTTCAACTAATCTTTTATGTTAGACTTCCGCCAAGCAACTTGTTATTAGATAGGAAGCAAATATGTTCTGCACTTACTACTTAATGATCAAGCAGTTATGTTTTGCAATAATAAACAATTAATCAAATGGCATTGGCAGAGAAAGTATTATCAAATCCGTAATTGCCTGGAATTGCATACCTGAATAACTAGGCTTCCAACACCACCAGAACCGTTCAAAACGAGAATAGATTTACCAGCAGAAAAACCAGTTTTCTCAAGACCCTCATATGCTGTCTCAATAGCAAGAGGAAGTGAAGCAGCCTGTGCAAAATCCAGATTTTTGGGTTTCAAGGCCAATAGCTTCTCTTCAACAGCAGTATATTCAGCCAATGAGCCAAATTGTTTAGGCCCTTCCAGTGCTTTCTCATGTATGTCACCATATACTTCATCACCCTCTTTTAGTCCCTTCACTTGACTGCCAACTTTTACCACCACCCCAGCAACATCATATCCTGGAACAGTCTACAGGAAAAATTAAAACCCTTTTGGCTTATTACTTATTCATTCACATTAAAAGAAAAAAAAATTATAGGCAACACAACAGAAAACCTTTCCTACAAGCTACAACCTGCTTGGAGAAATGCACCTACAATAAAAATTGAAAATTACGTTTCCTTTTCCTTTCCAAATTCTTCCTTCAGAACCCAATTAAGCAAATTAGTTACTGCACATTTATTTTCCAAGATATGAGAGGGAAAAGAAAATAAACTGAGGTACATTTTCACAAGCAAACAAACAGAGAAAAGAGAAACAAAGGAAGAAAGATACCGGAAGAAGAGAATCAGTGGCCTTGAACTTGCCCTGTCTTCTCTTGAAATCAACTGGGTTAAGAGCAGCAGCAGCAACCTTGATCAAAACCTGATCGTCTTTCACTTCAGGCACCGAAACTTTATCATCAAACTTCAAAACATCAACACCTCCATATTCTCCATATACCCAGGCCTTCATTTCAGAAGGTACAAAGGAAACTTTGGTTGCTTGGGCTGAAGCAGGTGCTGCTTGGGAATTTGCAGATACTCTTAAAGGAATGTGAGAGAATGAGGAAGTTTGCCTAAGAGAGGTGGAATTCTTTCTAGTATTTTCCGCGAAAGTAAGGGAAAATCTCAGAGAAAATGGTGGCGAAAGGTTGGAGGAGAGAGAGTGAAAGGTTGTGAATTTGGGGTTTGTTATTGTGGCTTCCATGTTTCCGACTGTTAATGGCTTATCTTTTCTCTCTGCATTCTATGCTCTGCATGAGTAAATAAATTGCAAAAATATCTACTCAAGTTTGTGGTTTTCCAGTGAGTGCATGACATGTGTTGGTTGGTTAGCTCTTCTGGTATTTCACCAGAAAGCGACTTGGCGTTTCACCTTTTTGTGGGAAAGAGAAGTGAGGTTGCAAAATATACACACCATCTTTCTGCTAATTCATGTCGTTTTAGACTTTTGGCACGCATTGAGAGTCGCTTTAGAAATTTAAGCTGTAAACGGTGCTCAATTCAGACGATATCACTATCATCCTCAACATTATACATATTACGGATATACAATTAATTTTAATTATAAAATTTTAAAAAACCACTAACTTAAATTTATTTTAAAACTAATTATGTTATTAATATTATTATCCATTAAAAATACTGAAAAAATAAAAATGAACTCAAAAACTTTAGGAATTTAAATTATTACTATTATTTCTGCTATCACTATTATGACATAATTAATAAGGTTTTATTGCTATTAGTTTTATAATTAAGGACCTAATAGACGAATATATTATTTGACTACAGTTCATAGACGAATATATTATTTTCTCTTTAATAAAAAGAAAAGAAAAAAAAAATCATGGGATATGATAAGCTCTTATCCATTTGAAGAGTTGAAGAGTAAAAAATTAATTCCTAAATTTTAGTTAAATTAACAATTAAATTTTTAATTTATAATTATAGTTAACACTTCGATCCTTCTATTTTGAACAGAAAGATCAAAGTGTTAATAAAATTATAATTAGAGTTTTCATAGTTAATTTTTAAAAATAAAAATTTTTATTTATTAATTTAATTATAACTTATGACGAATTTATTATTTTTCCTTTTAATAAAAGGAAGTATAACAGAGGATGAATTTATTATTTTCTCTTTAACAAAAAAGAAAAAAGAAAGAGAAGATAAACGGAGAATACGGTAAGCCCATATCCATTTGAAGAGTAAGAATAGCCAACAACCAAACAAGGATCCATCTTAGATGGGATTGTCACGTGTAGAGTGAGATCGGTTTTTGTCTAATCAAGGATCAACGGTCCCTATTCAGTCGTCGCCACCAAAACAACTTCACTGCTACTTCAACAGCCGACTCGGACTGCTTCCTTGCATAATCTCTCAGTCAGATCTCTCATCTCTCTCAATCTCCACTTCCCAATTACTCTTCCAACAGGTAATCACCAAACCTTAAGCTCTTTCATTTTCCATTTCTTTTCTCTTTAATTGATATCCTTTTTTGCTTTTGCTTATGCTTATTGCCGATTATCATTCCAACCCTAATTACTTCTAAAATAGGGTTTTAATTTATGATATTGTTAAGCTATAATCATGGAATTGTTATTGATCTCTGATCTGTTTCTCAAGCTGTCAAATTCGAGATTACTGTGCTATAGAGATAACGGTGTTGTTTAACTATGTAATTTTATGTGAAATTCGTGGATTATTGCCTCCATTTTTTTTTTTTTTTTTGTTAAGCTATAAACATGGAATGTTTTATTGATCTCTGATCTGTTTCTCAAGCTGGGTCAATTCGAGATTACTGTGCTTATAGAGATAACGGTGTTGTTTTAAACTATGTAAATTTTATGTGAAAAAATTCGTGCGATTATTGCCTCCATCCATTTTTTTTTTTTTTTTGAGCTTCTTATTTGGATTTATCTGTTCTACATATTAGATGATCGACTGAAATGAGGCTGCTTGATTTTACTTTTAGTTTTTGGTTTATTTTCTTGTCAAGTTGAATTGGTTCTTATGGGCTTATGTTTGTATCTTTGTTGGGAATGTTTTGTTTGCTTAATTGCAACGGGAAAATTTTGAATCAGCCTATCCAAACAAAAAATGTCGGAACAGCCAAACAGATGTTTCTTTACTGGTTTTTGAAAGGTCCAATATTTCAGGCTGAATTTATTTGGCCATGTGCCTCTTTCTTTTTTTAAAAAATATATCTAGTTATCTTTTTCTTTGCTTTAGTTTGCATGCAGCTGTGTGCAGGGATTTAGTGATTTTATCTTTCTTAACTTACTATTTCCTCTAGTTAAACGTTTTATTCTTCATTTTTATGCAGGGTTCCTGAAAAAATGGCCGATTCAAAACCAGGATTGAGGAAGCCTGTATTCACCAAGGTTGACCAGCTACGCCCAGGCACCAGTGGGCATACTCTCACTGTGAAAGTTGTAAGTACAAAGATGGTCTTGCAGAAAGGTCGTGCTGATGGTCCTCAAATACGCCAAATGCGAATTGCTGAATGTTTGGTAGGAGATGAGACAGGAATGATTATCTTCACAGCTAGAAATGATCAAGGTATTTTGTTTTTCTTCACTCTGTATCTGTGTCCAGGTACATGCTTTTAAATATTTTGGAAATGGCAATTAAAAAATCTAGTTATTCTAGACATTTAGTTTATTTGTCCCAGCTTTGTCTGAACATTAGTGCTTGGGATGGTGATTTTTAAGCCATTTTCCCTTGGGAGCAAATGTCTTTGTTCTTTTAACTGTCAAATTTAAATAGTTTGAAAGGCCTTTTATAGTGTTGGTTAGATTGTATTAATGGCAGTGTATTGGCATTTGCTCATTTTTTTGTTAGAACTCTTTTCCTCATGGAGTCACAATGATTTACCTTAATCAGACTATTAAAATGCCACAATCAACTAAAGAAGCAATCCGCTTATCACTTATGCTGATGCATGCCCTAATGTTTTAATCATTTTCGTACTAAGCCAAATTTTTACCTATTTTTAAATGAACAAAATGGTAGTTGGTTTGCCCTTTTTTTATTTTTAAATTTATCATAGGATCAAATATCTTGTTTGCTTTATATTATCAAATTTCCGTACAAAATAACTGGAGGCAGAAGAATGGTTGTAGTTACTTATTTTGGCGTTCCATTGTTTGTAATTTTTCATGAATTCTTGATAGGCTACTTGAAGTAGCTTGGTGCCTTGATGTGAGTAACACTAGAAGAGTTGTTTTGGATAATAGATTTATGAGCTTTGCTGATTTCAAAGAGTTCTTCATTTACAAATACTTCTTGGCGTACATAAAATCCTTTGTTTGTTGAATTATTATCTGTTGAAAGGGAAACTAATAATTAACTATCTAATTGTGCAAAAGTACAAGCATGATCAGTATTCATGGTTATTTGCATCTTGAAAAGTAATTATCTTCCTAAATTTATGTACATGTTTTGAGATTTTCCAGTTGAGATGGTTTAGTTTAATGTGTTTGTTTTTCATCATGTATAGTGGACTTGGTGAAAGAAGGAACTACTATAATCCTTCGCAATGCAAAAATCGACATGTTTAAAGGATCAATGAGGCTTGCTGTTGACAAGTGGGGACGTGTTGAAGTAGCTGAACCTGCCAGTTTCACTGTGAAGGAAGACAACAACCTATCCCTGATTGAGTATGAACTCGTGAATGTTGTTGAAGAGTGACTTGTCTGTGGTGCGTTCCCAGCATATTAGATGGTGATCTGAGAATAAAAACATCTCCAGCAAAGCAAATTACTGTTACAGGACATCTTTTGTCCAAAATGCCTGTGAAAGTTCACTTTTAGGAAGAAAAAATCTGCAAACTAGTACTGGACAAGTTGCTTTTACCTTCGCAGCAGATCCAGCAGAACCCTTTGCTTGGACTTCCAAACAGATGGTGATGGCTGTAAAAATTGATAAGAGTTAAAGCAGCTGCCTTTGGAAACTTGGTTTGGTTTGCTTGCTACCTATCTATTTTTGGACAGTAATTGAACTTATGTGATCACAGATATAAAATCTATCAACTGTATGTCGCTGTATCCAGATATTGTGGTTCTTGCATGTTTAATCTTTCTAAATACAAGTTCTATTATTAGGTCTTATCCAGTCGTAAAATTTAATGCTTGTCCAATTTTACTCGTCTTCTTCTCTAGTCGGCACATGCTTTGTTTTCACTGCTGTAAGGTTAGATTTATTTTCATGGCTGGTTAGCTTTAGAGGTTTTGAGTTTGGTTGTTTCCTTCTGGCGATTTTTCTAACAAATAATTATGTTGTCAAATGGGTTAGAGTGGAGATTGAATGTTTTCTGGACCAAGCATCGATAGTTTTAGTGCATGCTAAAGTATTTGTTTGTAAAATAATGCAGTTTCTGTTATTTGTTTTCAGTTTTTGTTGTGGGAATAATAATCTTTCCACTGCCTAAGAAAATTTTTTAGATCAACGGAAGAAGAAAAAAAAAAAGAAATTTATTTACTATTTAATGTAATATTTTGGATTCATTCATTATTTTCCTTCTCTTGATATATCTCAAGTTAGTTTCTTTCTTCTAAAAAATAAAATCCTCCTTTTGGAATGAAGGATGGAAGTTATACAAAGACAACATTCATTACTTTCTATTTCTAATATGCAGTGTCAGTGGAATGCAGAGGGACCTATAGTTTCTTCATTGACTGACACCGTATTGGATGATAATAATAACGAGATGAGGTATGACTGACTAATTATGGACGTCAAATGTACGTGTACTAAATAAATAGTATACAAGCACTTGAATGGTAATAATAGGAAATAATTTAGTGGGAGATGAAATGGGATTTACCTAACGTTTTCATGTTCCACCATGATCTAAAAATCCAATCCAGCCTCTTTTCGGGAATTATATCTTTTTTTTTTCTTGAATTCAGCTAATCAAACACTGTCTTCTCATATATACTATTGCTAAAAGCTAACAAAATATTACTATCATTGTATCAAGATTATATCCATCAGACAACCAGATATCAATACACATGGAAGTGCTTGAAAATTCAAGCTAAGGAGGCAAATTGTCTTAAACTCACAACTTCTTTTAAGATCTTTAATTTACAATTGGAAAGCACTTACAGAATTTTGGAAGAAACCACAGCAGATGTGAACACAATTATTATTATTATTATTTATAATATATTAAGCGCTTCCAGATCCACGTGCTTAGTTAGACAATTATTTTACTATTAATTATTTATGTGACGTAGTTTTTCTTCCAGGATTTTCTCTCTATTAACAAAGAAAAAGAAAGAAAAGAAAGAAAAGATAACGATAAAGAAATTAGCCTTCTTTCTCCAATTCTCTTTCCTTTCTGGCACTTTATACTGAAAAGAATGAAAATATTATTATGTATTTTAGTCCGGGCATGCAAAAGCTAGAAGCTTTTTCAGGGGCATGAAGAGGGGAAGGGACCAAATTTTTAGCCTGTGGGGGTGTCAAGAGACAAAAGAGATGAGATAGATCAAAGCAAGCCTTTCCCATTCCCATCCACCATTGTCTTTTCTCTTTCTAAGGACCATTCACAAACACAGAATTAAGATACACAATGTGAGAAAAACTTTAATCCAGCAAAACAAATTTTAGGATAAGCATAAAATTTTCTAGTTAAAGATAAAAATATGGTCCATATGACATAGTGGCCATCCCTCCATCACGTGTATAGCAATCCTCAGCGGCTCAGCCTACCGACAGCGGACTGGCCTAAGCTGGGAGCTCGTGAATTTTAAGAATATAATCTTAATGTCTACGAACTTAACCTTCATTTTCAAATAATATGAAGCTACTGCACGTGGGATCTTATTAATGCGCACATATACATGGAGATTTCAATTTTAAAAAGTATATTTTTTTATGTTAATTCAAGATAATTAAAAATATTATTTTAAATTTTTTATACATATAATTTAAAATTTTATAATTACGTTAATAATCTGATTGAATTTGAAGAGCATCGAAAATTTTTAAAAGCTCATTAAATAATAATTTTATTCACAAATTAAAATTTCCGTTATAATTTGTAAGCAAAGTTTAAATAAAACCTAAAAAATAAAGTAACATGGTAAAGAAAAATTTCAGTATTTCGTTGGTATAAGAAAATTTTCTATAGAAAAATTTCAACAAGACAAATCAATTTATTTATTTAATTTTTTTAACTAAATCTAAATCCATAAAATTCATAATTTCTTATTCACATGATCACATGAATCTAATTAATGGTACTATTAATAAATAAATAACAAAATGTGAATGGCTTGTGTAGAATATTGTTTCTCATAAAATAACACTCTGTACAACTCAGATTGTCTAAATTCATTAATTACAAAAGGAATCTTTTGGGTAAAGGCTAACGATATCAAGAATTAAGGCATCCTCCAATTCTATATATATAGCTTCATCCTCACCAACCTAAAAAAGGCAGCAGAAAAATGAAAACTCCATTAGCAGCAGCAGTGTTCCTTCTCTTCTCCTCTTTTTTTCTCTCATTCTCCAATGTAAGCAAAAATCTCATATTTATACTTATATACGCTAGTGTAAATTAAATTGTTTGTGCTGATGATGTATTTGCTTTCCTTTTCAGGTAAATTCTGTCTCTGCCGATAATGACTTCTCCTCCACCAACCAAAAACAGAAACAGAACCCATTCACTCCCAAAGCATCTTTAACGCGTTATTGGAGCAACCAAATAACTACAAAATTACCCATTTCTCCATTCATTCTTTCAAAAGCTTCTCCATTGGATGCTCTCACCTCTGTTTCTTTTTCCAAACTCGCCTCTCAAAACGCTCTCTCTACTCACCTCCCTGCCTTCTGCTCAGCCGCTAAACTCTTTTGTTATCCCCATTCATCGCCTAGTCTTCAAGAACAACGTAAAGACTCAGACTTTGCAACCTATCAAAACCAAAACTTTACTAATTACGGCACGGGTCAAGTCGGCCTAGCTGCATCATTCAAGGAGTACTCAGAAAGTGAGAACGAGGCAAACGATGCGTTTCTCCGGTACAGCCGAAGCGCAGAGGATAATAAAGAAAAATTTTCTGAATATGCTCATGCCGCAAATCTTGCTGTTGGCAACTTCAAAACTTACGGCACCGGAGCTACCGGCGGTTCTGGCGATTTCAAAAGTTACCATAACGGAGTAAATTTTGAAAATCTCGAATTCACTTCTTACGGCGACCGCAGTAAAGGCAGAGCCAACACATTCACTAGTTATGTAAATTCTACCAATCTCGGCGTTGAATGGTTTACTAGTTATGGCAAAAATGGGAATAAAGCCAATAATGAGTTCGTTAAATACGATGAGGGTGTCAATCTGCATGACTCTAACTTCACTAATTACGGTGAGAGTGGTATCAGAAGTAATGAAAGTTTTAAATCTTATGGGTTTAATGGCAATGAAGCAAGAAACTATTTTACGAGTTATGGAGATAGAGGTGAATCTGGTATAGAAAGATTTACTAGTTACGGTGAGAAAGCCAGTATTGGTCAGGAAGCGTTCAAATCTTATGGTAAGAAGTCAAATGGAGAGAAAATCGATTTCGCCTCTTATGGGGAATTTAACAGAGACAATTTCACTGGTTATGGAGAGGGAGCGGAGGGGAACAGCATTGGATTCAAGATTTATGGAGAAGGAGAGACGAATTTCAAATCATATGCTAAAAAAGACGTCACTTTTGCTAAGTACAACGTTAGCACTACAAACGAGCATAATCTGGTAAAGAAATGGGTAGAGCCTGGAAAATTTTTCAGAGAATCAATGTTGAAGAAAGGGAGTGTTATGCCAATGCCTGATATTCGAGATAAAATGCCTAAAAGAGCATTTTTGCCTCGATGGATTGTTTCAAAATTACCCTTCTCTACTGATCAAATTTCTCAGTTGAAGCAAATATTCAATGCCGGTGATGGTTCTTCCATGGAGACAATAATTTTGGATGCAATCAAGGAATGCGAGAGAGCACCTAGTCCCGGTGAGACCAAGCGCTGTGTTGGCTCTGCTGAGGACTTGATTGACTTTGCCACCTCTGTTTTAGGGCGGAATGCGGTAGTTTGGACGACGGAAAACGTCAGCGGATCGAAAAAGGATGTCATGATCGGAACGGTGAAAGGAATGAACGGTGGGAAAGTTACAAAATCAGTATCCTGTCACCAGAGCTTGTATCCTTATTTGCTTTATTATTGCCATTCCGTTCCTAAAGTCCGGGTTTATGAAGCGGATATTTTAGATCCGAATAGCAAGGAGAAGATCAATCATGGTGTTGCGATTTGTCATTTGGATACTTCATCTTGGAGCCCCACCCATGGCGCTTTCTTAGCTTTGGGTTCGGGTCCGGGTCAAATTGAGGTCTGCCACTGGATTTTTGAAAATGATATGACTTGGACTATTGCTGATTAATAAATATGATCAAGGAAGTGAAGCATGTGCCTAAATTATGATTAATTTGGAGAAATAAAATAATAACTCGCTTGATTTTTGAGGGGTACTAGTAACCAACCATATGAAAAGAAGCTGTTAGGTGGAACTAAAAAATAAAAGAAACAACTGTTGTGAACGAGTCAAGCTGCTCATGCTTTTGATAAATTTAATTAGCCGAACTTAAATTTTAATTATAGTGAAATTAAATAATTAATAGAAAAGTTTTACAAATATCTATATTTTTCTATTAAAGAAAATACATACCAATAATTATGATACATTTCAATCATATATTTTAATTGGAATTAATTTTTGTCCCGTTTTAATTGCGTAATGTCTACCTTATACAATTGAAAATGGCACTAAAAATTCAGAACTACAAAATACCATCGAAGGTGAAAAAATGTAAAGGAAGATGATGGGCATTAGCAATTTGGTAATTGGAGTATCTAAGTGTAATCTTGGGCCGTCATTGACACCCAACCGAAGTCCAAGATTGGATTGGCCCATTGATCTATCTGCGTCCCACAAAAGCAAGCAAGAGAGTTGAGCCCAACTGTTTTCACACCAAAGACGACACCGTTCCAGCCATAAAGTATCAACGGAGAGATGAAATATGAATGGATATGATAATTATTTCTTAGTTTATTGATGGGTCGTAAACAAACTGAGCTGCTCTATGCTGGGTTTGATAAAAGCTCACTCTCTCACTAATTTGATAAATTTATCGAACCAAGTTCGAATTTAACTTATTAATTCAAAAACCGGTTTTAGCGAATCGCATGAGTTAATTTAATAAATTAAACTTAATAAAATTTACATTAAAATAACGATATTTTGATTTAATAGATTTTGAGATTGAACTCGAACTTGGCTTATCTACCATTATTCAGCCGCTGCAATTCAATAATAATTGTATCAATATAAATTTTTTCATTTTTTGTTTCGTTTCTTTTGACAATTGCTAGTTGCTACCGGGGATATTTTTAAACAAGTCTAAAACACTTCCTGGCGTCAACATTAAAAATATTGTCGGAATGTGTTTTTGGCAAAACAGAATCCTAGTTGATAAAAAAAAAAGAGTTCCAATTCTTTTTAATTATTTTTTTTTAATAAAATAGTTATTACCTATTTCAAATTGAAAGACACAGACTTTTTTTTAAAAAGAACTCAAATTCTATTTTGATTTTATTTTTTAAAGGTATTTAACATGGTTCAAGTACATAGAAATACAATTTTTTTCTTCAAAATTAAAACTATTATATTTGATTATCAATAATTTGGATATTTTGAAAAAGAATATAGGAATAAGTATGCAGTAGAGGTTGAGAGAGGAAAGGAGGGCCTACTAAATACCACCATATTCGTCTTTCAAAAATATAGTAATTAAAATCGACAAGTGGAGATCGAACCCTAGCTATAATAGTTATATAAACAAAAACATCCCACGAACACATATTTACTCTTAAGCTACTACGAATGCAAAACGTCACATGACCTCATCATCCCAACTCTCTTATGTTAAAAGCATGCATACCTTAAAAAACTAAAGTGTTTTGAATAATAATTAAGGTTTCATCTTTACTAAAAAAAGAAAAATTTCGGTTATGAAAGTCATGATGTAGTGATTGATTATATGAATTTACTATGTTCAAAATGTGTATCATTGTTGGTGGAATATAGCAGTGATTTTGCATTTCAAAATGATATTTTATATGTCTAAAGAATTGCAAATGGTGGTTCGACGTTTGTGGGTTTGGTTTAGAATTAGAAGAAGAAGAAGAAGAAGAAGAAGAAGAATCAAAAATATAAATTAGGTAAGTTTGGTCCTTTTCTTCACATGGAATAAAGACATGAAATGCGGTCCAATGTCAAAAGAAATAAAGGACTCCATTCTTATTAATTAGGAGCCACAAAATTAAAGATTGTTTATATTTATATTTATCAACTTTTCAAATAACATGCCACAAAAATGGTAGACATGCAGCATTGCAGATAAAGCAATTAAAGCTTCGAAAGAAGTAGAACTAGTTCTATTTTATTATTATTAATCTTTTAGCTTTTCACTAAATAATAGTAAATCACTGAATTTGCTTTGGAACAAAGCATAAAAATGTCTCGCATAATAAAACAAATTCAAATTTAATAGGTAATATATATAGGGTTAATGCCAATGTTTCATCTATAAAAAAATATTTGACAAAAAGTGATTCCGTAAACTTTAAAATAAAATCAGTCTCGTATAAATAAAGAGACTTATAATAAATGAATAAAACTTAAAAAAGAATGTATAAATTAGACTTAATTCACCGGGGGGCGCGAACATAATTAAACAAACCGAAACGGAGTAAAAACACACCTATGATATAAATAAAAATGCATGAAATTCTAGAGAAAATTAATGTATAGATTCAGATAAGCACTGGAAAGATCTAATGAGACCAGCAAAGCCACGTTCGTCTGAGCATAAGTGGAACTCTCTTCCTTATCATGATTCCATAATGATATGATATGACCCACCCTAAATGCAAGGAAAAATATTTTAAAAATTTAAAAAAAAAAAAAAAAAAACGTTGATAACATGATATGAATATGATATATAAAGTTAATACGAATGATCTTCGTCACTTTTTTTTTTTTAATATGAAAATGTTTTTAAGGATCATTATATAATATACACTTAGATTTCCAAAAAGAAATGAAATTCTTCCATTTCCTTCTATTTTGTTTTTACAGCAAGTAGAATATTATAATGAATTAATAAATAGCAATATCCATGTATATGTGAGTGTGAGGTTGACAATAAATAAATATTCAACTACCCATGATGAAGCCAAAATTTGAGGGAAAAGAAAAAACAGCTACTATGAAAATGCAACCACATGCATAGTAATTGACATTTCACATCCTAATTAGCATGTGGGGATCTGAATAATCTTGTAATTGTTTTTATTATTAATAATATTCAATTCTTCATTTAAAAATCACAAATAAAATTACTTATTTAAAAGATTATGATGTTAATTATCTCATTTCTGAACATAAAAATTGACAGAATAGATAGAATTCTTTTCAGTTGAGCTTTCTTGGTGGGAAGATGAACACCAAAAAAATACAAATTAAAAAATATTGGAATTTTAAACTGGTGTGGAAAGATTTGGCCCTACTAATAGCACCATCTTTGTCTTAGTTTCATAAGTGGGACTAAAGCTCCAAACGCCATCACGCTTCGAAACCATAGTGAAAGGACCACTCATTGCACCCAGATAACCTAAAAATATAAAGCATCAAGATAAATGAAGAATGAAGAAGACATTTCTTTTCTTTTCTTTTCTTTTTTTTTTTTTTTTTTTTTTTTTTTTTTTGGCGAACCTACGTAATAGTGCACCATCTTATGTACAGCTCTTAACGTTTCATAAGTGGGGAACATAAAGCTCCAAAAACGCCATCCACGCGCTTTCTGAAACCATCAGTGAAAGCGAGACCTACTCATTGACCACCCAGCAATAACTAAAAAATATAATGCATCAGATAGAATGAAAGAATAGAACGAAGACATTTCGTGGTCTTTTCTTCTTCTTTTTTTTTTTTTTTTTTTTATTTTCTTAAAAAACGAAGAAGAAATAGATTTATCTGATCCCTACGCAAGTGAACAGAGCACTGAAATGTCTAACTAATTATATTTTCCCAATCGACTGTGGGCTGTGGAGCAGATTTAATTTGCAAGCCTATATTAGATTTAGCACTCCATCATCGGCAGCCATAAATGGGTTCTTATTGGTTTGCGTATGGAACCCCCTACTTGCTTGGAGATGCTTGCTTGTTTCAAATGTTTATGACATTAAAAATTTTCTTTACGTTGTTCTGATTAATTCCACTTCCTTTGTTTATTTCTTTTTAAAGTAATTGATTATTTCAAAAGTAAAAAGGTGGGGTGGTTAATGTTTATACACTTCACTATCAACATTTTTTTTTTTTTTTTTTTTTTTTTTTTTTTTTTTTTTTTTTTTTAAAAGAAGAAGAATAGATATTATTTGCCTAGCAAGAACAGAGACTAAATGTTCTAATATATATTCAATGATGTGGCTTGGAGGCATTAATTTGCAAGCTATATTAGATTTAGCACTCCATCATGCAAGCCAATAAATGGGTATGGTTGCGTATGGAACCCCCTACTTGTTGGATGCTTGCTTGTTCAAATGTTTATGACATAAATTTCTTACGTTGTTCTGATTAATTTCCCACTTTCCTTTGTTTATTTCTTTTAAAGTAATTGATATTTCAAAAAGTAAAAGGTGGGTGTTAATGTTATACACTTCACTATCAACAGAATGCTTGGGTTGAGCTCTCCTCTATTTTCTTGCCTATTGGTGTTCTTGAATCATTACATTGGTGGACCTTCCAAATGCTAGATTTTAGGTTTTCTCAAGTTATTTGTAATACACTTGAGTGCCATTAATGACTCTTCTTTTTTATTATATATGTATACAGAAAATGTAAAGCCACATTCAAGTGCTCATAAAATAATCTAACATGAAAGGCTAGTGTGTTAAAGACATGATTTCTCAAAAATACATTTCAAATAATTTAAAGCAAACAATTTTTGGTCCATCAATTTCAAATCCTATGTGCTACTGACTCATTAGGAAACTAGATTTGTTATTGACAGCAAAATTTTCTTATTTCCATCTTTTTGTGTATATTTGGATATGAAAGCAAACAGAAGGTCATAGAGGGTCAATTTATTTTTCTATCTTCTAGCATAAAATTGGCTCTGCTATGAGATCATAGAGTAAAGGGGAATCAGAAAGAGATAGGAAGTTTACGCAATATCACAAATACATGCATATATAGCTTTCAAACAGGCTCATTCCCCTTTCTGCAAGGTGGAAACCTATAGCTGCTATAGAATCTTTAAAAGAGAAAAAACATGAAAGCCGCTTGGTGTTTCTATCAATCAAATTAATGCTATCTTTAACTGTAAATGAGTTCGTTTTTCATATTTTGAGTGGGGTTTCATTGCTAGGACCGAATCTAAAAATAGTTTTTCAGTACACAGGG